TGCCATCATTCCGACCCTACCCATATAATTTTATTTCTCAGATTGTTTAGCCATCAAATCTAATACTCTGACACGTGAGCATGTTTCAGCCAGTTTTCAATGATTTTCTTGTTTAATATCAACTCATCCATTGATTCCAAGATGATCCATATATTTTATACCAGATTTTTGAGCACTTTCCGGCGACCGCTGCATTGTGAATAAGTCTATATGGAGCAACCACTTAATTTTGTTGCTAGGGGGAGTTTAGTAGCTTTGTATGTCGATTTCGTAAGTCACTATGGTCTAAAACAATTTTTTCAAGCTTGGTTTGGGAAGTTTAACTTTGTAATTCAAGAATTTATCACTTTGTGTTTTATCGACATTATGCATTAAATCCAGTATTTCATGAGAAGACTAAACATATTGAGATTGACTGCCAATTTTGTGACTAGGCACATTGAGATTGACAGTCAATTTTGTTAATTCGAGTGATCAACTTGCAAATATCTCACTAAGCCCTGCATCGGTCCTCGTATTAATTACATTTGTAACAAGCTAGGTACATACGACTTGTATGCACCAGCTTAATGGGGAGTGTTAGAATGAGAATAGGAACAAGATTAATATATACAATTCTACTTAGAATAGGAATATGAATAAAAATAGTATATAGAATCCTACTTAGAAAAAGATTTTTTTGTAGTGTCCTTGTTGGAAAAGGAGTCTTATGTAGTGTCTATACAGAGTCTCAATGTATTAATGTAGAGACACAATTCAATAATATTCTTCTCAAATATTTCTCACACCATTCTTAGGCTGCTCAGGCTGCAGAAGTCAAATTCTTTGCAGTTTCTTGGTCAACCAGGTTAAGGTTCATATTTGTAAGAGCTGGTAAGATAATCCCAGGGTCATTCAGTTCGTAAATTATGTTGTTGGAATTTGTGATTATTCCATTGATGGTGGCTTGATCTTCATATGATGAAGTTAGACCACAAATGTTTATTTCTTAGCAAAGAAGAATGAGCCGTATTTACAATAGCAGATAGTTTGAAACAAAACAATGATATTAGTTTAGCTTCACCTCAATAGTTCTTGATAATATAATTTGTTGATTGGAAATTTGGAATATTCTGTTAAGTTATAATATCAAACACCATTCTTTTTTATAATAGATGAAATATTATTTTTTTGAAACTGGTAACATTTGTATTTCATTTAGTACTTAGGTAGTACTGAAAAACCATATTTACAAAAGAAGAAAGGAAGTATAATCTATCCAAAAATTGAACCAAATCTAAATGGATCCTAAAACATCTATGATTGACTCAGTTTCATTGGAGTAGACATTTGTACACCAAAAGCAGAACAACAAAACACACTTAAGCTTTACTTTCTGCAAGTTGTTGTTCCTATTCTCAAAACATCTCTCGTTTCTCTCCCTCCATATAGTCCACCAAATACTAGCAGGGATCATCCTCCATCTTTCTCTGTTTGTAGCCCCAACTCCAGCCATCTCCCAACTGAATAGAGTCTCATCAATCTTGCTAGGCATACACCAAGATATGCCTCTGAGATTAAGGAAAATCTATCACAACTGCTCAGTAAAGTTTCAATGTAAGAAGAGATGTCTCACCGTCTCATTAGCCTTACCACATAAGGAACATCTGTTACATAGAGAGATTCCTCTCTTGGCCACATTATCCAATGTCAAAACTGCTTTATTGGCTAGTAGCCATGTAAAGCATGCCACTTTGTGTGGCACTTTGGTCCTCCAGATTTGCTTCCAAGGCCATTTGAAGTCTTGAATGCCACCAGGACTTATCTGTTTGTATCCTTCTTTCACTTTGTAACTACCTTTGTTGTGCCCTTGCCACCATAAATAATCCTCGCCTGTTTGTATACCTTGAAAATTCTCCAGAACCTTAAACAATTCAAGTATTCTGGGAATTTCCCAGTCATTCAGATTTCTTCTGAGGATCAGATCCCAGCCTTGTTGTGTCCACATTTCAGCGACAGTCTTCTGTTGATGTTGAGCCAATGTAAAGATGTCAGGAAAACGATCTTTGAGGCTCATACCACTCAACCATTTATCAAACCAAAAACTAGTTTTTCTTCATTTTGTACCTTGACAGTAGACTGATTACTGAGAAAAGGCCAAAATATTCTGATGGATTTCCAAAGGATAATCCCATTGGGGGTATTTACCTCTTTGGTTGCCCATTTATTTAGCTCCTCATACTTGTTGTTGATCACCCTATACCATAGTGCTTGGTCCTCCTGATGGTACCTCCATAGCCATTTCACCTTCAGAGCTTTGCTATGGTTTTTGAGATTCTTGATACCTAATCCACCTTGCATCTTACTTCTGATGATGTTCTTCCACTTGACTAAGTGAAAGCCTTTTCTTTCATTATTTCCTTGCCACAAGAAGTTTCTTCTAATTTTGTCCAAACTCTGAACTACTGATTGGGGAATATGGAAGATAGATAGCATATATGTAAGGAGAGCATCCAGAACAGAGTTTATCAGAGTTAATCTACCTCCCAAGGAGAGGTACTGTGATCTCCATCTGGCTAGTTTCTTTTCTTATTTCTCCAATATTGGGTTCCAAATGTCTATGGCTCCAGACTTTGCCCCCAAAGGCATGCCCAAGTATACTGATGGCAGAGTACCTGTCACTCCTCCCAAGGTTTGTGAGAGGTGTTCCATATCCGGAACCACATTAATTGGATACAAATGGCTTTTGTTCCAGTTTATATGTTGTCCAGATATGGCTTCAAAGTAGACTAGTATGAGTCTCAAAATCAGCAACTGCTCCTCCTCAGCCCCACAAAAAATTAGTGCATCATCAGCATAATGTAGGTGTGTGATCTCCATACTATTCCTAGCAACCTTACTGTCTTCAAATTCCTGTATTCTTCCTGTTGTCTTGGCTATCTTCAACATATTGTTAAGCCCCTCCATAGCTATGATGAACATGAAGGGTGATAAGGGATCCCCTTGCCTGATTCCTCTGTGTGCACTGAAAAAGCCTTCAGGAGACCCATTGACGAGTACTGAAAACTTAACAGTTGAAATACAAAACTTGATCCAACTGATCCATCTGCTATCAAATCCCATTTGTCTCAGCATACTTAGAATGAAATCCCAATTCACATGGTCATATGCTTTCTCAATATCAAGTTTGCACAGTATACCATGTTTCTTCTGGGACACTCTAGAATCAATTGCTTCATTAGCTATAAGCACTGCATCCATTATCTATCTGCCTCTGATAAAAGCCATCTGTTGTTTGTCTACCAACTTATCCACAACTCTCTTCAACCTTTCGGTCAAAACCTTGGACATTAGCTTATAGAAGCTTTCAATTAAGCTGATGGGTCTGAAGTCCTTGAGTTCCTTTGCTCCTATCTTTTTAGGAATCAGTGCTATGTATGTTGCATTATAGCTCTTTTCAAACATCCCAGTTGAATGAAAATTGTGGAGAGCCCCCATAATGTCATGTTTAATGATCTCCCAACATTTTAGAAAGAATCCCATTGTGTATCCATCAGGACCAGGGGCTTTGTCTATAGCATACATTTTTAAACACTCAAGTACTTCTTGTTCCTCAAAATCTGCCTGCAATGCTTCATTTTCACCCTCTGTAATGGTAGGATGGTTGCTGATATTTACAGAGGGTCTCCAACCTTCAGGTTCTATATACATCTTTTTGTAGAAAGAAATAATTTCTTCCTTAATTCTGTCTGGCTCTGTTATAGTCTGTTATAGTCTGTTATAGTCTCTCCCTGTATTTCCAGTTGATCAATATGGTTGTATCTCTTGTGGGCATTAGCTGTTTGGTGGAAAAACTTTGTATTCCTATCCCCTTCCTTGAGCCACAAAGCCCTTGATCTCTGTCTCTAGGCCACTTCCTCATTCTTCAAACACCCCTCATACTCCATGAAAAGTGTGGATTTTTTTTTCCATCTCCTCCTCAGTTAAAATTCTGTTGCTCTGATGTGATTCTAACTCAGCCATCTGATTGAGAAGGTTGTTCTTTTGCAATTTCAGATTACCTTGTTCATATCTGCTCCATTCTTTCAATTTCCCTTTGAGGGCTTTGAGTTTGCATGCTAAGATGTAATCTGGCTTCCCATAGAACTCAAAATCATTCCACCAGACCTTGATTCTTTCAACAAATCCTTCTTGGTTCAGCCACCAATTTTCGAAATTAAAATAGGATTTAGATTGTTCCCAATGTCCACACAACAAGGCTATAGGAACATGATCAGAAGTCACTCTTTGCATAGTGGTTTGCTTTATGTTGGTGAAAAGATTATTCCATTCTGTGGAGACCATAATCCTGTCTATCCTGGATGCTGTGATATGGTTATCACCCTTGTACCAGGTATACCTTCCACCACTTAATTGCAGATCAATGAGGTCCATGTCTTCAATGCATTCTGAGAACTCTCTCATTGCTGAGTTTAACCTGTAGATGAAATATTTTCAAATATAAAAAGATTGGGTTAGACAAAAATAAGAACGAGAAAATGGAACAATCGATATAAAGTTTAAAAAAAGGATAGATAAAGATAGAACGAGTGCACAAGCTTCCTGGAACAGCAGAAATAAATAGGAAGAGCAAAACAGAAGAGTCTGGTTGAGAAATCTGGAAGAGGAATGACATAGCAGAAAATGACTCATGGGTTGGGTTGAATTTCAATCTGCCTGGTTACATGGTCTGAATCCAATCCTGATCAAATCTATTTGACTGGTCATTTTGGGTCAGCCCATTCTGATCTACCAGATCTTTTATTGATAGCCAGCCTATTTTAGTTCAGATGGGTTTTTTTCCACCTCTACTGTCATGGTATATCTTTCTTCGTTAGTATTTGGCATTGTGACTATCTATGTTACATGGAGGAAAATGTTGATATTCATAAGGTGAATCAATTTTTTTTTTAGTTATGATCTGTCGTGTTCATCACCTATGCTTGAAAATTTTTACTCACAGAGTTGTTTCCTAATTGTAGGAGCTACGTGCATACCAAGCTGACGTTGCTACTGTCCTGCGCAATGGTAATTTGAGTTCTTCCTACTTTTGAATCCCCTTTTCAATTGTTGAAAGCTGTTTTTTTTCATTAGTGCTTATGGGTAGTCTTTTAAGCGTCTAATATGATTCTGATCATGTTCATTGTGTCTCTTTCTTCTGGCTTATATATTTTTTAGTCTTAGTTTGTGTAAACCTCATTTACGTAAGACAAGATTGTATTGTTTAAAACAATTCAAGTGGTGCTTGATTACCTGCATCCTGAATGTGCTTCATATTTTGGTGTTATGATCTTTGTTTTATTGAAGCATGTGCGACAAAGTCCTTTTTTTGTTGCATATAAATAGTCATGATTGTGAATCTCTTAATTAAGTGAAAATCCACATTTTGACCTCCTTGTGGGTAACAGTATAGAGATGTGCTAATGCGTTACTTGTGTAGGCTATCCAAAGCTCTGTACAGTCTCTTTAGTATGTATATGTATGTCAAGGATGAGGCTGCAAGCTCAAATAACTGTTCTTCTTTGGAGAAATGGAGAAGAGAATTTTAGATAAACGGCCTGTCATTGGTGGGCGTTCCAAGTCAAAGTATATTAGAACATAGAACAGAAGGTCCTAAGGGAAAATGAGATCATTGCCAAAAAGAAAAAAAAGAAAAGAAAAAAGGAAAATGAAAAACAGCACCAGCTCTATGTCATTATGACTACACTGTAGCCTTGCTTTGCAACTCCATGTTGGGCTAGCTAGACTTTAGCTGGACTTCTGATCTCCATATGAAATCTGCACATCATCCTTCAATCCAGTACATTGAGGCTTGAAATTGTGAAATACCTTTACCTGCTGCTAAACAAAATCTTGAGAGCTTTACATATCACTTTCAGTTATTTCTTTTTCTTGTCCTTGGTTGATTAACATTTTCAACATTTCGTGCTCAACTATCATGTGAAATTTGATCTATCAGGTTGTTTCTCGATATTACCTGCAGCAGACCTTGTCCCTGGAGATATTGTAGAAGTGAGTGGTATGTTGAGTCTTTTAATTATATCAACTGGAAATTGTATAAGATTTCATACTCATCCTCTTTTTATTTTGCACTAATCTTTTCTTTGTGACCTTTCCATGAAATGTGAAGTTGGGTGTAAAATTCCAGCTGATATGAGAATGATCGAGATATTGAGCGATCACTTACGTGTTGATCAGGCAATTTTAACAGGTGCGCTTGGCCTTACAGATGATAATGTCCTTTAATTGCCTAACAGATTATGCAATTTGACCTTCCATTGCCATTTGTTTTGTTGAGAATGCACAGCATGAGTTAAAAGAATTCATAAATAATGTGAATGCAGTGAACTCTTTAACAATAATAATGTTGGGAGGTTAAAGTTATGTTTAATTGTCTATTATAATATTTCCAAATGCACCATCTTAAATAAAAGAAGATGATCAATGATATTTTCATCACAAACAACTTATATTTTATAGGAGTAGTATGTTTCTAAGACCTTATGCTACAAAAATTAACATTGAAGTGATCAAAATAAGTAATCATTTGGCCCCCAAGGCTTAGCTCGAGTGGAAAAAGGTGGAGGATTTGTGGCTTAGGTCACAGGTTCAAGCCCCACACCATGCAAAGCGAAGCCCGGTATTTAAGTGGAGAGGGGTAGAGAGGCGGGCCCATTATCCACCGAGTTTAAAAGGCTATGATTGGTCCAAAGGGCGGGTCATAGACGGATTTCTCGGTTATCAAAAAAAAAAAAAAAGTAATCATTTGATGTTATTGACAATAACAGTCATAAATCCTTGTTTGATGAAAATAACAATCTTAAATCTTAAGTAAGTTAATAGCTGTTAATATCAAATTAAAGGAAGTCATAACTAAAGAATGAAAGCTGTACACGATGTTTCTTGTAAGTTATCAGTTTGATAAGTTATCAATTATTAGGTGTTAGAAAAATAGAAATACTAATTACGGGACATGAGATTAGATTTGCGTTACTTTACAAATGAGGGATGGGTTACTAACTTTGGGATAGTAATTACTAATACAGAAACTATTATAATGCCAATATGCAAACCTTTTCTTGAAATATTCGGAGTTCTTAGCAGGTGTTATACTTGTATCTGCCTATTATATGGTGCTTCAAGTTTTATATGCTCTAACTACAATGTTTCACTGATACAATGAGATTGCATGGAAAGTAAAATTGAATCAGTTCTGCCAATCAGTGTACCTTTTTTCATTTGCTGCTTTTGATTGTGTATATAGAATTCATTGTAGGCTCTTTAGTTGCTTTCGCTGCCTTTCGTTCCTATTTTATGCCATCTTCTTTTTGTTCTGATGACAGGTGAGAGCTGCTCTGTGGAAAAAGAGCTTGATGCAACGACTGCTACAAATGCAGTATACCAGGATAAGACAAGCATCCTCTTTTCTGTAAGTTATTAAAACCAGTTCTGTGGAGACTACTATATAAACCGAGCTTGGAGCATAAATTTTTCTTAAAAGGTCCATCATGCTGATGTGTTTGACAATGTAGTATGGGAGATGATAATACTGTCGCTTGGTTTATTCAGTAGCCTTGATAAATGTTAACCTAATTATTTAAAAATTAAAAAAATGGGCATTTGAGACTGAACATTCTCTAGGTTGAAGTACATCCTTGAATTTGTGGGATGCTGAATGGATGCTGCGATTTACCTTGTTACTTATGAGACATGTCAAAAGGACAAAAACTCTTGTCGATATAGAGTCCCTGAAAAACATGCTTATAAACGATGACTTTAGCATTCTGATGGCGTCTTTTTCTAGGAAGTAATGGGTATTATTGATAACTTGCTTGTGCATGGTATTTTTGCATCTTCTTCACTTGTCACAAGCTCTTCCACGTCTCACCATTTGTAGGTTTTGTGGTATTAACTACTCTCTTCTTCCCACTTGTGACTTCTTTTTTTCCTGAAGTTTTTGTAATTATTATTATTTTTTCTAAATCATTGTTAATTTCAAATGGAGTAAATTCTAAATCTGTAATATTTATTTTAAAAAAAAGAAGAAGCTCAAGTCTGGATGATAGATTGGATGACCAAGTGAAGTGCATCAAAGATGAGGAAGGAAAAGTATTGGTGGAAACGGTATACACTATACAAAGATGGCAGACATACTTACATAAACTCTTGAATGAAGAGGGGAACAAAAAATATGATCCAAGTGTTTTAGAGAACTTTGAGAGTTGTCGAGATTTTGGATACAGTAGAGGTTTAAATTTTGAGGTGGTTAAGGACGCTATTCATAACATGAGAAGGGGGGAGGGAGACCAAACCAGACGAGATCCCAGTGGAACTTTGGAAGATCGCAAGCAAGTATGGAGCGATAACTAGGTTGTTTAATGTCATTTTTAAGACAACAAAAATGCCTGAAGAATGAAGTGATCCTATTATACAAGAACAAGGGTGATTTCAGAATTGCTTCAACTATAGGGGTATCAAGCTGCCAAGCCACATTGTGAGAGTTTGGGAGAGGGTGGTGGATATGAGGATGGGGAAGGGTGTCTTTCCGAGAACTAATTTAGTTTCATGTCAGAGCGATCAACTATGGAAGCCAGTCATTTCTTATGGAGATTGGTGGAGCAGTATAAGGTCAGCAAGAGGGGTTGAGGCATTTTTTGTTTTCATTAAGATTTAGATGTCTGCTCTGAATGCACATCTGAATGATTAAGATGTTGTCTCTAGATTTGAACACGGAATGGTAAAGACTGTTTGTTTTTCAATATCTGAATATACATAATTTATTTATATGTACATAATAATTATATAATTCAAATAAAAATTAATAAATAAAATCATTAGTTGATAAAAGAAATAAAACACTTATGTTTGCTAGAGATGGGGGAGATAGTTTGTAGTGTTGGTGGTGATGGTAATAGTAGTTGTTAATCTTCTAGTAATGATGGTGGTGATAGTTGTGATGATGGAGGTGGTTGGTGTTGTGGTGACTGTCGTAATGGTGACGATTTGTAGTGGTGTTAGTGGTTGTAATGCTGAAGTTGGTTAATGTTAGTAGTTGGTGGTGGTTGATGATGTGATGCTAGTTATGATGATGGAGGTGGTTGGTAGTAAAGATCGACAATAATGGGGGTAATGGCTAATAGTAGTGGTGGAGGTGATGGCGGTGGTGGTGGTGATCGAAGATTGTATGGTGGTAGTTGGCAATGGTGCTAGTTATGATGGCAGAGTTTGTTGGTAGTAGGAATTGACTCTAGTGGTGGGAGGTGGTTGATAGTGGTGGTGGAGGTAGTGGCGGCTATAGAGACGGGGGTGGTGGCGGCAACAATGGATAAAATTATAAGGATGAAGGAGGTAAAGTGTGGTTGTAGCTGACAATAGTGGTTAGTGATGATGGTGGTTGTGATGGTAGATGTGGTTGGTGATTGACGACGGTAATGGTGGTTCACAATGGTGGTGGTTAGGGGTGTCAAATGGGGAATTAGAAATTGGGTTTAAAAGGGTTGGGTTCAAATGGGCTAAAATTCGGGTTAGGTCATGACCCGCCCAATTTGACCATCTTAATCTCATTGATTTTAAAATTTGCTATTTATGACCCAGCCAAATTTACTTTGGGTTTAAAAGGGTTGGGTTCAAATGGGCTAAAAATCGGGTTAGGTCATGACCCGCCCAATTTGACCCTCTTAATCTCATTGATTTTAAAATTTGCTATTTACATTTTATAACCACAATCTGAATTCCAACCCAAGAAAAACAAAATAAGTTCTTAATTTTGAAGTGGAAAGTCACAAAACATTATACTAACCAAATACACATATATTAAGATGACTCATTCAATGCAAATAAAGAGTATTAAAATGGGTTGAATTAGAGATTAAATTGGGCTAAATTGAAGATCCTTTTAAAATGGGTGAAGACTTTAATGAGTTGAGATTGATCCAACTTAAATTATTCTAAGCCCAACCCATAAAGTTTTGTGTGGGTTGGGCGGATTACCTATATTTGGGCTCATTTTCAGTCCTAGTGGTGGTGGTGGTTGTGATGACAGAGGTGGTTAGTGGTGGTGGCTGGTGATTGTGAATAGAGTGATGGTGAATATTATCCACACAAGAATACCTCGTAATGGTATTAAGACTCTGTTCTAGATCTAAATGATTAAGATCTATTCAGACCCATTAAGTGCCTTAAATCTTAATGAAAATATATGCAGTTGATGGTCTAGTATCTGAACTATTTAGATGATTGACATGACTTATCTAAGGGGAGGTGCCATGGTGTATGTTATTTGCAAGATGACATAATATTAATTGATGAGACATGTGGCGAAGTTAATGATAAGGTGGAGGTTTGGAGACAGACCCCGGAGTTTAAAGGGGGTTGAGACAAACTAAGACAAAGTACATAGAGTGCAAGTTTAGTGACATGACTCAAGAGGTAGGTGTGGAAGTGGAAATCAATAAAAAATCCATCTGTAAGAGAGAAAACTTCAAGCACCTTGGGTCAATAATCTAAGGAATTAGGATTTAGGAAGATTGACAATTATGTTATATATTGTATTGGAGCGGGATGGATGAAATGGAGGCTTGCATCCCGTGTTTTGTGTGATGAGAATGTGCATCAAGACTTAAATGTAAGTTTTATGTAGAAGTTGTTAGATCAATTATGTTGTATGGGATGAAGTGTTGCTTAGTCAAGAACTTGCACGTCGAAAAGATGAAAGTAACGGAAATGAGGACGTTGAGATGGATGTGTGGGGATACCAGGAGAGATATGATTAACGATGAGAATATTCAGGGCAAGGTGGGAGTGACCTCCGTGGTGGACAAAATAGGGAAGCGAGACTGAGATAGTTCAGACATATGGGGAGGAGATGCTCAGCTGCCCCAGTGAAGAGGTGTAAGAGATTGACCATGGTGGGTTTGAGGAGAGTTAGAAGTAGGACAAAGAAGTATTGATATGAGATTATTAGACAAGACATGACACTCCTCTAGCTAATTGAGGTCATGACCCGAGATAGGAGGAAATAGAGGCCGAGAATTAGGGTAGAATGCTAGTAGGTAGTCGAGCATTGTCTAGTTTTTCTTATTAGTATTTTTATTATTACTGTCCTGTTATCTTATAATTTGTTTTTTTATTAGGATAGTTATCAATATATACCATTCCGCCATCTAGTTTACCAAACATAGCCGAAGTGTACACTACATATACACTCGGTTGTATATGGTGTGCATATGCGGTGTATACATATGTATATTATATGTATAAATTTGTTTATTATATGTATAGGAATGTATAGATTGTATATGTATGTGTATCTGTATGTGAATGTGTAGGTATATATATTACATGTATATGTATATTAGTATTAAATATAATCTATACACTGTGTACATATTTTGTAAAGTGGCTAAAAGGTATTGGGCTGTAATCTTCTCTTTTTATTAATAGTTATTGTTTTTGCTTCGATTATCGTCCTATTTGCTGTTGCTAGTGTTTTTTCTCCATTATTTCAATTGTGGCTTCTGCACTAATGTATTCCCTTTTCATACTTGCTTTAAAATGTTTCACTTAAGCCAAGGATATATTGGAAACACCGTCTCTACCTTCACAAGATAGCAATAAGATACACATCACCTTCTCTAGACCCCACTTGTGGGACCCTGGGTATGTTGTTGTAGACTGTTCCATTAAAAGAAGATCTGGATGATAGATTGAGAATTGATCAGTTAACCTTCATTCCCTTAGTCCCTCGTAAAGAACTACTATTTGGTATAAAATAAAGTTAACCAATAATAGATGTCAGGTTCTAGCACCTGCAGAACTGAATAAAGATAACTAAATTATCTTCTGGTTATAGTTTCAAAGACATTTCTTTGGTTATATTCATATTTCTTACTTTCACCAGAAAGTTGTTTTGAGTTTGTTATTTTTGTCATAGCTGCATACAACAGTCTTCAAACAATGGCAATAAGTCAAATTTCTGTTTCGATTGCCAGGGCACTACAGTAGTCGCTGGAAGGGCAAGGGCTGTTGTTATTGGGGTTGGATCTAATACTGCAATGGGCAGTATACGTGATTCTATGTTAATGACTGAAGATGTGAGCTTTAAATGTTGATCCATACTAACAACACCCTTTATTTTGGTGTAACAGTGATTTGCTGTCTTATTGGTGCAGGAGGTGACGCCATTGAAGAAAAAGTTGGATGAATTTGGCACTTTTTTGGCAAAGGTATGGACTTTTATTTCCTTCCCCTGTTACAATTTCTGAGATAATTTTTTGTTATTCCTAGATTTCACCTTCACCTAACTCCTTTTTTAATTCTTATGTACTCTAGGAAGTTTTAAATAGAAACCCTCATGTGGTCTCTGTGCATTAATGATACTAGGATTTGTTGTGTTAGTTTTAGGATTTTATATAAGCTGGCATGATAATTTGTGTTACTAATACTGCTATCTGACAAATTAATCAAGATTACATCTGCATTTTGAATATATATATACAAAAAGAGGGCACCTATCTATAGTTCTATACAATAATCAATCCCTGTAGTGAATTGATGAAATTTAACATACTGCTTTTATCCTTCACATATCCTGTAGGTTACGCCAGAAAGCCAGAAACCAAAGAATTTTGTGCAGAGACAACTTCCCCTTCAAAACACCTAGCATTTCGTTTGGTCCACAAAACCCAATAGATACAAGCTGGTACTGTGTAACCCACAGGCTTCTTGCTGTTCTCCTTATCCCACTTTTGCACTAAACAGTCAACAGTTCTTTCACAGTGAGAGATATGACAAAAGACAAGTTGAAAAGATCGAAAAACAGGTTCATAGCTGCGTTGCCACTGTGCAATGCGAAAAAGAGATGTCTGCTGAACTTGTCCTCCTTGTTGCATAAGTAGCATCTGCTGCAAATGCTCATTCCCCCTCTCTGTTAATTGCTTTGTGTCAGACCGGCATCATGAGCTAACAGCCACATAAAAAAGGCCATCTGCTGACGAGCTTTTGTTTTCCATAACATCCAATGCTAGTAGCGAGTACTTTCCAGCACCTTGTTTAATCACTGTAGCAAGAGCCTATTGAAAAAAACACAATTCTGTTGCCTCAGCTAGAAGAATTGAGCTGCTTCATCAGTAAATAAAGCCAACTGGTCCAGATCTTGTAGCAGCAAGAGAGCCATTCTTGGAATTTACCAATCAAAACATGGTCTTCTAAAGTTGAGACACCAGCTGTTTTCCATTCCAACATTGGGATACAAGGCTATCAGTGTCGGAGTAGTTTCAGATTAGTTCTTTCAATAGATGTTTGATCCATATTAGTTCACAAGTCGCAACTACCATAGCTGTATATTCAGCTTCGGTACTTGATCTTGCAGCCACACTTTGTTTCTTGCTCTTCTAGGATATTAAATTACTGAACCCTCTAGCTAGAACACAATCAACATTTGTATGCCCAACAATGTTCGCATGTCCTCGATCCTCGTACAGTAGTCCTTTTCCTAGAGCAGATTTAATATACTGAAGAATACAGACTACTGCATCCTATGAGCTTCACATGGAGAATCTATAGATTGACTAACAACACTGATTGAAAAGGAGATATTGGGCGCGTTACAATGAGATAATTTAGTTTTCCATCTAATATCCTGTATCTCTCGAGATTGCTGAAAGGCTCCCTGACCTGGCAGAAACTCAAACATTCAGATTCATAGATGTATTGATAGGTCGACAATTTGTTGTTGCACATCTCTTTAAGTATGTCGAGAGCATACTTTCGCTTCAAATGATAATGTCTGACTTGGATTGTGCGACCTCAATACCTAATTTACCTAGGTCCTTGGTATGAAAATGCTGAGATGTCATTTCAAACTATCAATGGCCTCTTGATTCATGCCAGCGATAACTATGTCATCGACCTCCATTTCAATTCTCAATAGTTTTGAGATGCTAATCAACTGACAGTGAGGGGACTACAGTGTGACGATGAGGGGTGAGATGTAACAACCTGGAGGACACCTCACACGCGGTAGGAAATTGTGCTAAGACAAAATCTGTCCCATACCAAGTCAAGATCACTTGGAAACTCAATAAGCATGAGCACTAAGAACTCTTCTGTCATTCTCCTCTCCTTTCTTGTAATACCCTCGTATTCACATTCTATACTCCTTTTGTCTTTCTCTTTTGTCACCATTTGACACCCTTCCTCTTGTTCTATGTTTATCAATAACTCTGACCTATTTTCATTTCCTTTTAAGAGACTCCCAAAAATTATTAAAGCTTGGAAATTTTGATAAATCCAATTATCATTCTCCTCCATTCCTCAACACTTGATATTTACTTTGTTTAAGTCTTTATACCTCTTCATTCGAACAACTTAACTTTTATCTAATTTAATATAGTACAAGAGCAGGTAGAGGTTCTGAATTCAAGTTTCACCACCTACCATCAACACAAATTTTCTTATTACTTGACCCAAGAAAAAAGAATCAGAATAGCACGTGACGAAATTTGTTGTACACATAAATAAATAAAATTCTCTTTTCTAATAGGTTAAGCTTCTAAATTCTGTGCATATAATTCCATGACAATTTGTGAGGGTGCACGTCTATTATGCCTATGGTTTGTAGGTGGCGCATATAAATTACATGAGCCACAAGCGAGATAATTCTTTTCACTACCGTATCCTCCCATCCACACTCCATCTCCCCACTCCTAAACCACCCACTCTCCCTCTCTTCAAGAGGATTTTGGTTCCTCACTTGTCTTTCCCTTTGTGACTTGAATCCCTAATTTCTTTGTCGTATTTGGGGTGTTCTACCACTAGATTAAACCTCCTTGTCATAGGTTAGACAGATCTGACACCATTTTAGAACATTTGTTTGGTCCAAGGCAGTAGGAAGCTGCGCATTAACATGCGAAAGAGCCATACTATTACTAGTTGGCGATACATGACCTCTAGAAGTTGGCAGATTTTTGCGGGTGCAAGTTTGACCGATAAAATAATTGGGATGCCACTTGAGCCCAAGATTAGAGATATAAAATTTTGGCAACCTGTAATTCGGAAGTTTGCACAGAGGTTGAGCAGATTGAAGCAATTGTATAGAGGGTGTAAAATCACACTGCTGAAATGAACCCTCTTTAGTATGGTTATCTACTTTATGCATTTTTTCTGTATCTCAACTACAGTGGGATAGAAATTGCAGAAGATGATGAGGTAAAGGTATTCGTAGGTATCCATGTTTAATCATACTTTTAAGGGTATTACCTTTTCTATACAGACTATAGTTAGAAGACATGCAAAAGCTTTACTTCAACTACAGTGTTTTTATTTCATTTAATATTGTGATGATTCTAAAAGCTGTTTATTCCAAGTAATACTCAAACTTTTTTTTTGAGAAGGTAACGATTTGTATTATAAACCAGTACTTATGTAGTACTGAAAGCCCCTTTACAAAAACGTATGAAAATGTAGGAACAAAAACAGCAAGCCTAGCATGATTCTAATACTTCTAGGATTGCTTCTGCATCTACAGGGGAACTCTTTGTACACCAAAAACATAATAACAGAATACAATGATCATTTGTAGGGATCTGCTTCTATCCTCAAAGCTTCTAGCATTCCTTTCTCTCCAATAGGTCCACCAGATGCATGCTGGAATTGTCCTCCAATAACTTCTGTTCTTTGCCTCAATTCCTGCTTCCTCCCAACTTGAGAGAGTGTCAACAATCTTGCTAGGCATTGTCCATTGAATGCCTCTGAGATTGATTACCAAGATGTCAGGGAGGATCTCTGACAAATTTTGATTACCAAGCCATCTATCTTTCCAGAATTGTGTCCTGATACCATTGTGTACTGTTATAGTAGTATGATTCCTTAGGAAAGGCCACCAGTTCCTAATTGATCTCCAAACAGTAACACCATAGGGATTGGTTGCTTCCTTGGTGACCCATGAATCGATCTCTCCTTACTTCAGTTTAATCACCTTACTCCACATTGAGTGTGGTTCATGAGCATATCTCCACAACCATTTCAGCTTTAGAGCCTTGCTTTGGTTCTTCAAATTTTTGATGCCTAATCCTCCTTGTTTTTTTCCCGTGATCATAACTTTCCATTTTACCAGATGGTATCCCTTTCTTTTCTTGTTTCCTTGCCAGAAAAAATCCCTTCTTAGTTTATCCAATCTCTGTACTACTCCTGCAGGTATTGGGAACAAAGTTAGCATGTACGTAGGAAGGGCATCCAAGACTACATTTATCAAAGTGAGCCTGCCCCCCTTTGATAAATATTGTGCTTTCCATCTGACCAACTTCTTCTCACATTTCTCCAAGACAGTATTCCAAATTTCTTTGGACTGTGATTTTGCTCCCAATGGCATCCCCAGGTAGATAGCAGGTAGTGCTCCCACCTCGCCTCCTATCACTGAGGCCAAAAGCTCCATATTAGAGACCAAGTTTATGGGATATAAATGGCTCTTTCCCCAGTTGATGTGAAGACCTGACATACCTTCAAAAAGCACCAGAATGACCCTAAGGTATCTTAGTTGTTCCTCATCTGCATCACAAAAAATCAAAGTGTCATCTGCATATTTGAGATGTGTTACCTCCAAACTCCTCTCATTGTTTGTAGACACTTCAAATCCCGTGATCCACCTATTTGTTTTAGCTGTCTTGATCATGTTGTTAAGTCCCTCCATGGCAAGAATAAAGAGGAATGGAGATAAAGGATCCCCTTGTCTGATTCCTCTTTGGGCTTAAAAAAAACCTTCAGGAGCACCATTAATGAGGACAGAAAACTTTACTGTTGAGATGCAAAAATGTATCCATCTAATTCACTTTTCTCCAAATCCCATTTTCCTGAGTATATTGAGAAGGAACCCCAGTTAACATGATCATAAGCTTTCTCAATGCCCAGTTTGCATAGGATGCCTGGTTTCTTTTGACCCACTCTAGAGTCTATTGCTTCATTTGCTATTAACACCGCATCCATGATTTGTCTTCCTTTGATGAAAGCCATCTGTTGGGAGTCTACCAGCTTGTACATCACCCTTTGATTCTTTCTGTTAAAACTTTAGACAACAACTTATAGAAACTGCCTATCAAGATTATTGGTCTGAAGTCTTTAAGTTCCTTTGCTCCTTTCTTCTTTGGGATCAAGGCAATATAGGTGGCATTGAAACTCTTCTCAAACATTTCCTGCTCATAGAAATTATGGAAGGCCTCCATGATGTCCTGCTTAACAATTTCCCAACATTTGATGAAAAACCCATAGTGTAACCATCAGGTCCTGGGGCTTTATCAATGGCACATAACTTCAAGCATTTATAGACTTCCTGCTCCTCAAATTTGGCCTGTTGTTGTGATCTTTCTTTCTCTGATATTGAAGGACAATTCACTAAATTTCCATCAGGTCTCCATCTTTCTGTTTCAGAATACAGTTTCTCATAAAACTGTATGATTTCCTCCTTTACTCTGTCTGGTTCTGTGATGATCTTTCCCTCTACTTCCAACTGGTCAATATGGTTGCTTCTTTTGTGGGCATTTGCAGAATTATGGAAGAATTTTGTATTGTTGTCTCCTTCCTTCAACCACAAGATTCTAGACCTTTGTCTCCAAGCACATTCCTCATTTTTGATCAGTTCTTCGTACTCCATAACGATCTCTGCCTTCAAAGTAGCCGCTTCCTCTGTCAGTGCTCTTTTGTTCAGCAAAGAATCCAAATCTGCCATTTTGTTAAGCAGTTTGGACCTTTGAATCTGCAGATTTCCTTTTTCAATTTTACTGCACTCTTTGAGCTTTTCTTTCAGTGCTTTCATTTTACATGCTAGGATGTAGTCTGGCCTCCTATAGAAGGAGAAAGAGTTCTACCAGTTACTGATTTTCTCACTAAAACCTTCTGTGTTCAGCCACCAGTTTAAAAAAACTAAAAAGACTTGAGCTGCTTGAGAACAAGAGGGATGACTCCGGGGTGGGGGGGGGGGGGGGGTGCATAATAAAAGGAAGAATAGCATTTGAGATAATGAAGGAAGCTACAAAAGTTCTTTAAGGAAGTAAATGTGCCCTATTTCTCTTATTTCATAATATCTTGTCCAATAAACATGGGTATGCTGTATTGCTAAATGGGGTGAAGTGAAACATTTAATTAGGAGCTCATACTTCTTATCTGTCTAACAGTTCATGAGATTTCACTTACCACCTAATGCGACCTAGAAACTTATTTGTTCATCCATATTTCTCATCAATCTTCGTTATGTTATTTGCTTCTGAAGCTATTCTTTCGTTCTTTTAGATCATTGCAGGAATATGTGTGCTAGTTTGGGTGGTAAACATTGGGCATTTTAGTGATCCTGCCCATGGTGGCTTCTTGCGAGGTGCAATACATTACTTTAAGGTATAGGAATCTCATTAAAAGCATTACTAATCAATTTTGCCTGGATCATGCAAGTTCACACGTGGGTTTAAATGTTAAAGTACAGCTACACTGAAGTTTTTAAGTGTCTGATAATAGACCTTTCCCTTGCTTATTTATTATCACTGAGCACTTAAATGATGTTATGTTTTATTATATGACTGATTTTGTTTCAATGCTAGGTATTACCTGAGGTGTTACCTTCTCAAAATAAAAATAAAATGCTAGGTATTACCTGACATATTTTATTTTCATTAGTTAATGTACATTTACCAGAATCTTGGCATGTTTAATCTATGTAGGACGCCTTCGTCTGTTTTGCACTTTTAATTAGTTTTTTTCATCTGTAGAGGCACTATTTTAACCTAATTGATAGTTGTTAGGAAGAATCACACATGGGAGAGATATGATATCTCTAATTAACGGTACTATTTGTCGAAATTTACTCTAGCTACTGCAATATTTTTTAGCATAATTAAGTCGCTAGTGTTAGGATGATTTGAATTTTAAATTGTTATCAGGTTGTTCTAGTTAGTTGAGACAGTTTAGTTTCTTAAATTTTAAATTATGCAGATTTTGTGTTTAAAGTTGACTATTTAAAACTCTCTTGTGATTGATAAAATTATCGAAAGACATTTCCAATCCTTTTTTTGCTGTCCATATTTCTAAAAAACCAAAAAATGGTATCAAGAGCCTCATTGATGTTACGGGATCTGTGAGTTCTTCTAAAAAACTATTTTCAACCTGCAAGGGCTATTTACAACCCATTTTTTAACCCGTAAAGGCTACTTTCAATCATCTTTAACCCGTCAGGGCTATTTTCATCCCACTTTTCAACCATGGCAACCAATAGTCTCTCTTTCAATACCCCACAAATTTTTACCAACATAAACTATCAAATTTGGTCTGTGAGAATGAAACCATATTTTGAAACCTATGTTTTTTGGGATGTTGTGATGGAAGAAAAATCCTTGCAACAATTTCTGGCAAATCTTATCATTGTCTAGAAAAAACACTTTCAGAAGAGCTTCCAAGCAATACAAGATTATTGAGGGTGTTTTTTAACCACGAAACCAAAAGAAGAAAAAGAAAGAAGAAGAAATTTTGCAAGTTAAAAAATAATCAAAAGAATTCAGCACCAACCACCAAAGCAAAAATTGAGGAGGAACAGTTTTTAAATTGCAGTAATTAAAGGAAAGAAGGAGCATTGAAATTTACTTTCTTTATTGTAGTAGTTTTTAGTCTAATTAAGTTGCTTAAGCTTAGGATGATTTGAATTTTAAATTGTTATCATGTTGTTTTAGTTTACTGCAGTACTTCAATGTTTGCTTTGCTTCCACACTTCTCATTTGAGGGGGCTCTTTCTTCGTGCTTCATTTTTTTCAAGTTCTTTCTCTCTTATTATTCTTTTCAAGTCAGTTTTTGGTTTTGGAGTTCCTTTGGCATTGCTCTTGTTTAAAAGCTGTTCTAGAGACTTTATTTAAAAACTGTTTTATTTGTATTATCACAAGTATTTAACAGTTATTTTCCTCATGAGTGATATATTCGTGGGATTATTTGTTGTTTAGTTGAGCATATTATGTTTGTTATCCTTCTGTGGTTGGTCCTTTTTTGTCCTTGCTTCATTCGAATTCTTTACATGGGCTGATTTTGGTTCTGACTATACAACTGATGACACGTACTTCTCTCTTCCTTGTTTAGATTGCAGTTGCACTGGCTGTTGCAGCAATCCCTGAAGGGCTTCCTGCTGTTGTTACAACGTGAGTGTGTGTAACCATGTTCTTTGAATTCTTAATTGGTGCCTGGTATAAGATATCTGGGTATTTTCCAGTTGGGATACTTGCATGGATGTCATTATCTTTACATAATGCTTTCAAACAAAAAAAACAAACTTAAGAGGGTAGAAGAACCAAGAAATATGCCACCAAAATGTTACTGCTGGAGCCAGATGCAAAAGTCATTGTGTGTTTCAACAAAAAGAGTGACTTCACAGTTAGTCCTCTGCACAGAGAATAAACGTTGAATTTTTTTTAACAGGTGTCTCGTGGCTTAAGATTTATATTCTGATTAGTATGCCATAAAATGAGTTGTCAATTGAACTGTGTATTTCTTGTTATTGGCTTCAAAGATAATCCATGCTTGTTCAAAGTTTCTTTGTTTATCTGTTGAGTTAGTGCTTTGCATATTACATGTAGCCATAATGCTCTTTGTTTAAGTTCTCTGTCCATTCTGATATGCTGCCAGAAAGTTATTGCTTTAAAACATTTTATGTGCTGATAAGTGATGAGGTGGTTTCATCTTTCCTATATGCAGTGAAACCCCAGTTTAAATAAAAAGGACAGTAAGCTTTTAGGCTAACTTTTGATTTTAGGTAGATGCTGATGGGGAAAAGACTGCAAGACTTTCTCCTCTCAGTTGTTTAGCTATCTCACGTGTCATGGTTCACTTCCTATCTTATTTTCTGTGGTGGAAGAATCTTTATGCGGTTGTGTACTTTGTTCTGCATATCTTGAACCTGCTAATGTATGTACTGAGAGTATGTATTGAACATTTGATTAAACACTATTCTCTTTTAGCTTTGTATATTAGTAAAGCTAAAAATAAATGTTTTCACAGTTCATCTGTTTTCGTAATAGTAGCACCATAGTGGTTTTAGTTAGCTCTCCATTTATACCCGTGAGGTCTCTTTATATATCGATAATTGGGTGTTCGTAGAAAATCATATCTTTTTGTAGGTTTCTTACTTTTCTTTGTATACTTCTTGTATATGGACGTCTTTTTATGCCCATGCTGTTAATATAATTTTTTACTTTATCCAAAAAAACATAGTTCTCCATTTATGTACTGATTTTTTATATTTAATTTTCTCTTTTTGGTCTGTGTTATATGCAGTTATCTTCACTTCAAAGTATAACTTAAGACAAACATATGTTAGTTTTGATGGGAACTTATTGTAAAACACAATCATGAAGTCTGTTCAAGTTTTGCTAAAATGAAAAAGACTATCCTTCCTTCTGTATGTTTGAAATAGTTGATCAAGTATAGCTGCAGTGTGGTAGTTGGAAAACTTAAAAAACATATGCTAAAGTACTAACACAGATTGAACCTTTTATAAGTAGTATAGAGATTTATAGATGTAAAATGTCGTTCCATCAATTACTTCTGGACAAATGGTTTGTATGTCAGGAAATCGACAAAGTGTGACTTGTATCCCATACATCTGCTTACATCTCCTCTCCTGTTTCATGTATCTAGTGCATGAGTCTCTGGTCTTATTGTTAGTGGCATGGGTAGGAGAATATTTTTACTCTCCTTAGAAGTACTTGTGGCAGTCAATAAACCAAGTTTGACCTAAAAAAATCCCAAGTACGATAAAAACAGAGATAGTCACTGAATAATATGCTTCTTTTATCATGCTTTGTTATTGTTTAGGTATGTTGCTCAAAGATACGTTTTTGTTCTTTTACGTTTATTTTATGCTCATTTTCAATCTCCTCTATCCCCTCACCCCTCAAGAAAAAATGAGAAAAAGAAGAGAAAGGTAGAGAATCCTATGTACTTTTATCTGATTATGGCAGGTGTTTGGCCCTTGGGACAAAGCGAATGGCTCGTTTAAATGCTATTGTGAGATCCTTGCCGTCCGTAGAAACCTTGGGCTGCACGACAGTAATCTGCAGTGACAAGACTGGCACTCTCACAACAAATATGATGTCTGTGTCAAAGGTACATTGTAAACTATATATACTATTTCTGTAGTTTTGAACCTTTTCCGCATTCCCTTTCTTCCCAAATGGCCTATCCTACAGAAATATTATATTTTGGGGGAAGGGGTTACTGTAAGCACTTGAAAATTCTAGGCAGGAGCGATCTAGAAAGTGAGGATGTTAGCATAAGTAGAAGTGCAACAGAATATATGCACTGCGATTCAAGCAACCACAAGAAGGTGAAGATTATGTGACATTAGAAGGGGTTGTGGTGTGTAAATACAGTCAATTCATATGTTTTGGCTCGAAGTTCCATGAGAATGGCATGACTTAGATGAAGATGTAACACATACATTTAAGATAAGATGGTTCAAATTGAGAAGTCTATTGAAATGTTACGCATTAGGAGGATACCTGTCAAAGTTAAATTGCAAGTTCTGTAGAATAATTTTGTAAAACTGTTATAAGAGCAGGGATAACATATAGCATTGAGTTATGGGCCTCTAAGATGTCACAACCCAAAACGAGTCATGAGTGGCACCCACACTGGACCTCCTAGGTGAGCGAACCAATGAATTCAACCCCAACTCATATTTATCGTTCATCTTACGAAATACTAACCATAATGCGGAAGCTTAAATCTTATTATATATCGTTTCCCAAAATCTGAAAGTCATCACGTCAAGGACATGTAATCTCCAAATACTATGTCTAAGAGTATCAAGACACCAAAATAAATGAATAAAATAGTTTGTGTCTGAAAACTAAGGACATTATGCCATGACCAAGAAAATCACACACGAGCTTGAATGAAAAGCTCACCCTGAACCTGATATGCTGGAGACTGGCTAGAGCTGAGGGCGAGTCTAGTCGTTGGTACATTCGCTGCACTCCACAAAAGGAAAATGAAGAACATACAAGTTGGTGGTCAGTACAGGGCAACATGTAGTGAGTAGATATCATCGGCCGACTCAAAATAAAAACCAATATGCATAAAATAATAGCATGATATCAACTATAGCAACTTAGCAGGTGACAAACAACAGCCGCCATGAACAAGTGACAACAACACTGAAACAAGTGCAAAGCAGTGCACAATATCGAGAACACACATGATGTCTCATGCCTCCACACCACTCTCTTTTGGGAATTAGGTTCTTTGAGATTGAGTACATTTACTTTACTATATTTTCCTTTAATGTTATCGTGCCGGAACGTGACACCCGATCTAATAATATCGTGTCGGAACGTGACACCCGATCCAATAATACCGTGTCGGAATGTGACACCCGATCCAATAATATATCGTGCCGGCTCGTGGAACCCGATCCAAATATATAGTTAATTTATTTGTCATTCTTTATCATCTCTTTCCACTTCCTTAACAATATTTCATTAAGCCTTATTTATTCAAGGCATTTTTTTAATAGAACAAGTTAAAGATTATGGATTTCGCAGTCTTGGGATTACAGACCAATCACAACAACACATGAATTATCGAAACCACAACAACCAAGTACCTAGAGAAATTCATAATATCACTTTATGACTATCAACCACTATTAAGAGTCTATCTAACACATAGAATAAACCATAACCTACCTCCACCAAAGAACCAAAGCCACGTAAGCTAATTCGTCAATTCTTTTCCTTTCTTCAATGCCTCAGATCATTCCCAATCTATCAAGTATGGATAATTTGTAAGTAAACAGACTCAATTCTATAACCAAGCTCCTAATCTTGATGCCAACTAACTTGTTAAGTCTCATATTTCTTAAATCTCAAGCCTAGGGTTAAGTCTCAATACGTCAAATTATTATAATTTTAAGGAATTAATATAATACAATACTCGTAATATTTAGTTATATATAAAAATATATTAAAACTTAATTCATAATAATGTGATAGCATCAAGAAATTCTCGTAACCAAAATTACGGGTCAACTAATTAAACCATGATCCACATACAACACCATAACTTCCCTGTACATCCATCCTATATCTAACATATATAATATCTAGTGATTAAACGTTTCAAAACGCCAACCAACCATTATCAATATTGTCCAAAAACAACAAATGAAATTCTTGTCCCCCAAACTTCCAACCAAATACGACCCACTTCCAATTCATATGCAACCGTAATCTAGATTTGAAGAGCACACATTATCCTTTTCCAACTTCTGGTACCTGCAATATCAGGGATTGCTCAATAGTCTGTAAGTTTCTTTGAAAAGTACTGTTCACTTGGTTCGTGGTGAAAGAGACTGTTCTAACTCAGGAGAATCTCATGAAGAGGGGCATACATATGTATCAAAGATGCTATTTTTGTGAACAATCTGCAGAGACAATTAACCATCTGTTTCTTCATTGTAGATAGGAAGGAGTGGAGGTCGCGTATTAAGGTTGAAGGTTAATAGGGCTAGCGTGTTGTCTTTCCGTGCAAGGGTTTCGGTGGGTAGCGTTTGTAGTAGTCCTAGCCTTGCTCTTGTAGTTCTTGTCTGTGATCCTATAGCCAGTTGTCGTTTACTGCGTTTCACCTCTCTCAGTATTTTCTTGATGTTATTGTCTCCTTTGTTGATTATGCACGTTTCTCTTATTGGATACTATGTCTTATATAATGTTTCCTCTTCTTTTACTTGGGTTGTCGTACTTGAGCTGAGGGTCCTCCGGAAACAGCCTCTCTACCTCCACGAGGTAGTGGTAAGGTCTGCGTACACTCTACCCTCCCCAGACCCCACTTAGTGGGATTTCATTGGGTATGTTGTTGTTGTTGTTGTTGTTGTTTCTTCATTGTAGAGTGGTAGGTCAGTTATGGAATCTGTTTAGAGATTCAGAGGTATAGGGTGGACTATGCCTGAAAGAATAGGTCAGTCTCTAGTAAGCTGGAATAAAGGGTAGTGGCAGCACAAACAATGACAGATGAAGAACTGTCCCAGCAGTGATATGGTGGGCCATATGGAAGAAGAGGAATTCTAGGTGTTTTGAGGGCAACAACAGCCCCATGCGTAGGATTAAAATGAACTGCGTTAGTGCATTATTACTTTTTGTTATTGGTGTAGTAGACATCTTAGGATCTTTATAAGATGAAATAGGTCCTAGAGATAGTTTCTGATCTTACTCTTTTGGATGTAGTTTTTTTGATGTAAATTTTTGGATACCAGCCTTAGTGCTGATGAAATATGTACAAAACCAGTTACCTTTGTCAAAAACAAAAAAAACTGTTCACTGGCTAATGAATTTTTGGTAATACTTTTTTCTGTTCAGATTTGTGTGCTTCATTCATTAAATAATGGTCCAATGAACTCTGAATACGTTGTTAGTGGAACAACTTACGCACCAGAAGGTTTTATAGTTGACAGCTTGGGAGCTCAGGTATTCCTTGTTATTCTTGTTCTTGTAGACAGACTTCCAGAGTTCAATTTTGAAGCACAAGTACTTCGTTTGTTTTGATTGCAAGCATTACTGCTGTTGTGTTAGCAGGCAATGATTGTAACCTATCCCTTAAACAGTTTAAGACCTGATAAGTATTTCCTTGCATCTCTATTATCATCATAAGTGAAGGATTTTGCCCAAAAAAAATCAGATTTTTTTTTCCCAAATTTTTTTTTTTTGTCATTTGGAGATGCAACATGCAAGGGAAAGCAGATGGTCTCCTAAAGACAATGTGTTGCCTTGTGCTGGTGTGATGCTGAAGGAGGCTTTTTGACCCTCAAAAGTTCTGAATTTTCCTTTTGCATTGAGAATTTTTAAAAGCCCCTCAATATTGTCATTTCTCCCTGCTAAATATTTTTCCTATCTTCTCAGCTCCTCCCTCATGAATGACATATATGAACAAAGAAATTAAAAAATAATTACGTTAAGTGAAATATCAATTGTTTAGTGTCGCCTTTTAAGAAGACGTCCATTCGCAAGGAAAAGCATGCCTTAGAACCTTGATGAAGACACAAAAGCTAGCATTAAGAGAGGCGAAGCGCTCAACATGTTTTGGGCCTCACTTTTGGGCTTAAGCATGCTTTTGACAACACTACTAAGGACCCTCTATGATGAGTTTGCTAAACTCTCTATGATGAGTTTGCTACACTCCGAGATTCTTGGAAAAGAAATACATTTTTCCCATGTATGAAGTCTAAATGATTTGCACAACCTTTGCACATGCAAAAGCTGGGAAGTGGGTGGCTTCTTGATGAGATCGTGTACATTTTCTTTCAGTAGAATTTCTGAGACATACTTTAGTTGCGAAATAACCTGATCTTGGCTGAGCAACCTCAATACCTAAAAAGTACTTCAGTCTTTCGAAGTCTTTAGTCTGAAAGTGCTGAAAGAGATGTTTCATTTGGTAATACCGTCCTGATTATTGCTGGTGATAATGATATTGTCAACAATAACTTTGAGAAATATAGGAGAAAAATATTATTAAATTGTAGTTGTGTCTACATTATTACATTGAGATCCTATTTATAGACACTAGAATACAATTCTTTACCAAGTAGGATACTATTTACTATTCCTATTCTCACTTAAATAAGATTGTATAAACTTATTCCTATTCTAATAGGATTGTGTAAATCTATTCCTATTCTAATAGGATTGTATAAACCTATTCCTATTCTAACCCCCCCCCCTCAAGCTAGTGCATACAATTCATGTACCTAGCTTGTTACATATGTAATTAATACGAGGACCAATGATGGGCTTGGTAAGATATATGCAAGTTGATCAGTTAACTTCACAAAATTGACAGTCAATCTCAATGTGCTTAATCTTCTTATGAAATACTGAATTTGATGCATAATGCCGATAAAACACAGAGTGATAAAATTACAGTGTTGAACTTCCCAAACCAAATGTGCAAAGACTGTTTCAGACTCAGACCGTAGAGTGACTCACATAATCGACATACAAGGTTGCTAAACTTCCCCTGAGCAACAAAGTGCTGAAGATCTTGTATAAAGTATATGGATTGGAATCAATAGATGAGTCGATATTAGACAAGTCACCGAAAAACTGGCCGGAACATGCTCATATGCCCGGAGTATTAGATTTGATGGCTAAAAGTGGTCACAATCTAAGAAATAAAATTATATGGGTTGGGTTGGAATGATGTCACGACCCAACTAGAAAATAGAAATTATATAGGATAGTGCGAATTGATTGATCGACCCCATTGAAAAAGAGAAATAATATGGGTAGGGTCGGAATTATGGCACGACCCTACTGAAAAAGAAAACTTATACGGGTAGGGTTGGAATTATGGTACAACCCTACACAAATCAGATTTGAGGAGTCACTGAAAAGACGAATGGAAATATGCAAATCAAAACTGAGGAGTCAGTGAAAAGACACATGATGCTATGCAACTCAGATATGAGAAAATAGTTCAGAAAAATCCACGGTACTACACAAATAAACTATGATAAGTAGTCCGGAGAGATGCACGGTGCTACACAAATCAGATATGCAAAAAAAAATGTAGTCACTGAAAGGATGACACGGTGCTACACAAATTAAATATGAAAAAGTAGTCACTGGAATGATGGTACAGTACTACACAAATTAAATATGACAAAACAGTCACCGGAAAAGATGGCATGGTCAAAACAACAAATATAAATGGGTGGTTGAGAGGTTTCAATGTAGCGAGAGAAGGAAGGGATAATCTGGAGGTGACTCATTTGCAGTATGCAGATGATACCCTTATTTTTTGTGATGCAAATGAAGAACAAATAAAAATTTTGAGGGTGATATTGGTTCTCTTTGAAGGGATGTCAGGATTACACATCAATTGGGGAAAGAGCTTTCTTTATCCGATCAATGAGGTCACAACCACGCAATCCCTAAATGCAATTCTGGGAGGAGAGATTGGTAGTCTGCCAACAATGTACTTGGGTATGCCTTTAGGGGCAAACTCAAAAGTCTAACGAAATCTGGAACAATGTGGTTGAAAAATGTGAGAAGAAATTGGCAATGTGGAAAAGACGGTACTTATCACTAGGGGGTAGATTAACCCTCATCAACTCCGTGTTAGATTCCTTGCCAACTTGTATGATGTCCTTGTTTCCTATACCAGCAAAAATCATTAGTAGGCTAGACAGAATCAGGAAGAAGTTTTTGTGGCAAGGAAATAAAGACAGGAAAAGCTACCACTTGGTCAAATGGGAATCTCTGATAATTGACAAGAAGTTTGGAGGTTTGGGATAAAGAATCTGGATACTCATAGTAAGGCACTCAGAATAAAATGGCTATGGAAGTATGCCAATGATAAAGAGGCACTATGGGGAAGAGTCATAGAAGCTAAGTATGAGGAGGAAGACAGATGGATGACTAAGGACATTACAACTCCTTGTGGAGTTAACTTATGGAGATCCATCAGAGATCTCGGAATGAACTGAAGTGCTTCTTCAAGATCAAGGTGAACAATGGGGCTAAAACTAGGTTCTGGAAAGATGAATGGCATGAAGAAGGCAACTTAGAAAGGTTATTCCAGATATCTACTCATTAGTACTACACCAACCGAGTACCATGGCAGAATTATGGACAACAGCGGGATGGAGATTCAACTTCAGAAGGCAATTCAATGATTGGGAAATACCAAGAATGGCAGATCTCATCAACAAGATTGAGCAATTCAGTGGGTTGGGAACAGATGAAGATGAACTATGGTGGAAGGGAAATGAGAAAGGCACATACAAAGTGAGCAAAGCGTACAGGAAAATGAACCACAACCAACAGCCAACCAGTTAGGTTAGAAATGGGGAAAAGACAAGCTTCTTGGGAGATGACTGGCATGAGATGGGGATTCTGAGGAATATCTACCCAGATATCCACAACTTAATGTTAAATCAACAAAGAACAATTGCAGGAATGTGGACACCTAATGGGTGGGAAATTAGTTTCAGAAGACAAGTAAATGACTGGGAAAAGAGTTGCAGATTTCCTTAACACTATTGGCCAGGGTAGGCAAAGCATACAAATGGTTGAATAGTCACAATCAACAGAATGTCAACTGGCCCTCGAGAACTATATGGAAAGTGAATATACCCTACAAGGTATCATGTTTTATTTGGCTCCTATCTAAGGAAGCTGTCCTTACACAAGACAATCTGATGAAAAATGGGGATAATTTTATGTCCGAGGTGCGTTTTTTGTGGAGAACAAGCAGAAACTGTTCGACATTTGTTCCTTCACTGCAAGATCACATGTCAGCTTTGGAGGCTATTCATAAAACTTAAAGGTTTCTCCTGGACTATGCCAGGAAAGGTTACAGAGGCCCTTCAAAGTTGGGAAGAAGTTGGGGTTCTGGCAAGAAGCAGACGGAGATGGAGAATCATACCAGCCAGCATATGGTGGACAATCTAGAAGGAGAGAAATTCTAGGTGTTTTGAGAACATAGAAAATAGTATACAACAGATCAAATTGAATTGTATCTTGATTCTATGGTTTTGGTGTAATCAAATTCGGTCTAATGATCCTGTATCTATTATTGATGTGTTAGATTCATTATAGACATGGGATCATAGGATCTGGATTTACTTGTAAATATGGCTCTAGTACATCCCATGTATTGACCTGTTTCTATCAATAGACACAAAGTTACCAGTTTCAAAAAAAAAAAATACCATATAAAGTGGCATGCTTTGTGTGGCTTTTGGCAAAGGAGGCCGTGCTTACCCAAGAGAACCTAATGAAAAGAGGGGTAATTTTAAGCCCCAGGGGATTCTTGTGTGGGGAGCAGGCAGAAACTGTGAATCATCTATTCCTACATTGTAGAATCACAGGATAACTATGGAGATTGTTTTTGAACCTCAAGAGGAATAGCATGGAGCATTCCTGGGAAAATTACAGAGGCCTGAGGCCTTAACAAGCTGGGAACAAGCTGGGTTGTTGGCCAAGAATAGAGGCAGGTGGAGGATAGTCCCAGCAGGCATTTGGTGGACAATATGGAAGAAGAGGAATTCTAGGTGTTTTGAGAGCATAGAGAACAGTATGCAATAGATTAAGCTTAATTGCATCTTGCTACTGTGTTTTTGGTGTAATCTGTTACTTTTAAATGATCCTGTCTCTATCATTGATGTTTTAGACTCATTATAGACATAGGATCATAGAATCATAGATGTAGGTAGTACTTTGTAAATATGGGGCTGCTACAACTCTTGTATGATTCGGATTCTAACATATATAGAAAAAGTTACCAGTTTCAAAAAAAATATGGCACGGTGCTACAAGTTAGATATAAAAGAATAGTCACCGGAATGATGACACGGTGCTTACATAAATCAAATATGATAAAATAGTCACCGGAAAGATACACGGTGACCCAACTTTTGCTAACATAATTGTTGGCCAGACGGGCGGAATACAAGGAGGTTCACAAATTCTCCCCCATAACCAAAACTCTCAAAACGTTAGGACTACATTGTGAATGTTAATTAAGTTAGAAGGAACAAACCTATATTTATAGAGTCCTAAACCTTTTCCTACAAGAAAAGGATTATTAAAAAAATTTCCTAAAACGAAAACCTATTTATGGTAAGAAAGTCAGGGCAAATAAAACCCAACAAATCTCTCCCTTGGCCTGAATTTCTGACAAAATAAAATTGTCCACCTTCTTCACATAATCTTTAGGATCTTGCACCTCTTCTCCATAATCTCCTCCATCAAATTTACGTCTTGACAGAGAGGTCTCTGAAACAATTTCTCCAACAAAAATCTTCATTATTGTCAAAAAGGTTGCGGCTAGAACTTCACCCGCCAAGATGAACACCATCTCTAACCATGGTTCTGGTACCATGTGAGAAATATAGGAGAAAAATATTATTGAATTGTAGTTGTGTCTACATTATTACATTGAGATCCTATTTATAGACACTAGAATACAATCCTTTATCAAGTAAGATACTATTTACTATTCCTATTCCTATTTAAATAAGATTGTATAAACCTATTCCTATTTAAATAAGATTGTGTAAACCTATTCCTATTCTAATAGGATTGTATAAACCTATTCCTATTCTAACGATAACCACCATAAATAGATAGATTTGGAGCAGAATGTTGATGAACCATAGAGTGATAAGTTTTACTACAAGTTCATGCCAAACTCCTAAATTATTATGTGACTGTTTCTGGCCATAGAGTGACTGGTGCTATAGACATATGAAGCTACTAGACTCCCTCGGAGCAACAAAATTAGGTGGTTCCTCCATATAAACTTCATCCTCAATACCCTTCGAGGCGGCCCGGGCTTTGGACTTTCATGTTGGAGGTCTGAAGTTCGAAACCCCTTGCCTGGGAAAGCAAGGGGTTTGCCTTTTGGGTCAAGGTTGCACCGGGCTTGCCTAGTACGAGTTACCTCTCCTGTGTGGTTTGCGAACTATTGTATAGGGGCGGAGGTTTTACCCTGTGCGCACCCAAAGGGTCGCGGCCGTGGGTTTCCCTTGTCATTAATAAAAAAAAACTTCATCCTCAATACCATTATGGAGAAAAACGTTCTTGTGGAGAATGTGAAACATAAGCAAACGAATTTATTACCAGAAATATGATCAAAAGTGTTGGAGTCCAGGACTCACAGTCCAAGGGTATAAGAATGTTAACACAAGCAAAAGAATTACCAGGAACAAAAATCTGAGTCTGAGCAACTAAGACTACTCATGGAGATGTCTGCTTAATTGCTCAATACAGAAGGAATTTATTTATCCTCCTTCAGATAAGGAACCATTTACAGCCTCAAAAAAGATAAAGGAACCATTTAGCCATGTAGTTTACCAAGGATAGCTGAAGTATACACTACATAAACACTCAGTTATATATGGTGTGAATACGTATGTATTATACATATAGGTATGTTTATTATATGTATAAGTATGTATATTATATGCAAATGTATGCATATTATATGTGTATTAGTATAAAGTATACACTACTTATACACTGTGTACATATTTTGTGAACTAGATGGCCTAAAGGTATTGGGCTGTAATTTTCTCTAAAGAAAACCCCTAATTACACCCGGTGCAGTATTAGCAACATGAGCATTTTAGGTGGTCTACCATGCAGAGAATTACATACTTCACTAGAAAAGTTATTGAATGGCTGTAACACTGCACAAACACGTCAGAAAATTCACTGGAAAAATGAAAAGTGATCGGAACTTGAAGAAAATAGTATGCTGGGCTCGAAATCATGGTATGATCCCAACCAAAAAGAAGAACTGCTCTGAAAATTAGCTGCAAACTGCCTCACGCGCTGAAGCATGTGTTGGACATGCCAGAGGCATTGGAGCTTTGTCAAGCACGTGAGGGTGCATCATTGGGGGTTCTGCTGAAGCAGTTTTCTGGGGTTTGGTCGCCAGATCTTGCTGGACCTTGACTACTGGCAGAAAAGGAGATGGCACAGGGAAAATCTAGAAGTCACAGGAAAGAAGGCATGGTGATTGACTATTCTATTCCTGAGATTTCTTACGGTCGCTCTAATACCATGTGTAAAATAAAAACACGAGAAATAATAATAAGATGCGTTAACTACATTATTACACTAAGCCCTATTAATACAAAGTACATTATAATCCTTTTCCATGTCGGACACTATATATGTTAAATACTCTAGAAGCATTATAGGATAAAATTATTTGTTTGCTACTTGCTTCTGTTCTCCATAGTATATTTAGTAGTTTATTTAATTTTGGTGTTCTGTGCAGCTAGAGATTCCTGCTCAGTATCCTTGTCTACTTCATATAGCAATGTGCTCAGCTCTATGCAATGAGTCTGTTATACAATACAACCCAGATAAGAGGATTTATGAGAAGATTGGTGAATCAACTGAAGTTGCCCTCCGTTTGCTGGCAGAAAAAGTTAGTCTGGACTTTGGCTTGCGTGTCGCTTCTTTATTTATTCCTTATCTCCAATTTATATGGCATTTCTTTTTATTTTGTAGAAGTCCCAAATGTTTAATATTGTTTTACTGATAACATTATTTCATAATGCCATACAATTTTCAAGCTTTATAGTTTATCTAATTCTTCAAATTTTAAATTAATTGATTATTCCTATCAATCTGGCTATGCAACCATTATTTTATTATTTCCTTTCACCATTTCTTGTATAGTAAGTCAAATTAACATTTCAAATTCCGATAGGTCTATTAAAAAGGGACGGAGGAAGTATTTGTTTAGTATATGTACATATTACAGCACATAAATTGATTATGTGACTGATAATCAGATGTAACTCTATGCTTATTCTCTTATCAATTATTGTCAGATTGGTCTTCCTGGTTTTGATACAATGCCCTCTGCTTTAAATATGCTAAGCAAGCATGAACGGGCCTCTTACTGTAATCGGTATTGGGAAAGCCAATTTAAAAAGGTGAGGTGTGTTTCCACTTTATTTATTTTGTGCTGGAGATAATCAAAATCTAAGACTTGCATTCACATTCTTATGGAATTTCAAACTAACTTGCTTTTGCTGAAACATGAAAAAAGTCATGTTTGAGCTCTCCGTATAGGACTGTTTTTCATGTTGCCGAACACATTAGGGATCATGTTTGTCTTACAAAAGTGTTCCAAATGATTTTCCCAAGTGGTTTGTAGTAAAATGTTGCCTCCCTTTGAGATGATAGTAACTCCCTTTTATGAAATGCTTACTACAGCAGTCAAATGTTTGCAATAGTTTTTTCGTGGGAAATACGGCGAATGTAATTATTTTCACCATTTGGATCCTCACATTCGTTAAAGACATCATGCGACAACTGTTGTTTCTTGTTTGCATATGCCTTCTGAACTTTTAATGAAAACAAAAAGCTAAGAGGAATTCTAGGTAAAGATTCTTACAAGTAAAAAAATCTAAAAGAGCATTACAGAGCTCCAACTTCCGCTACGTGGGTCTGGAGAAAAGCTGGACGACCTATAGAGAAAAAAAATCATTGCAAGTTTTGCAAATTCCAAGTAGTCCGCAATATTAGGGTCCCAAAACGTGAAAGATCTTGAACGACCTGCGTAGGCTACCCTTAGATTTGTTAGCTAATTCAGTCTAGATTGTAAATTTGTTTTGTTTAATCAGTTAGAGGCTGTTTGGATTGGCTTAGCTTATGTTCTTTTGTCTTTAAGATCTTTTTCTACTTTTTGTGGTGTTTCGAAAAGAAAAATGTGTTTTTTAGCACTTATAGGCCAAAAAAGTACAAAAATAAGCTAAAAGCTAAAAGTTGGGTATTCCCAATTTACGATTTTTAACTTTTACTAGCTTATAACTTATTTTAGAAAAGCCAATCCAAATGCCCTCTTAGTTCAGCATAGAACATAATTCTGCCAAGGAAGATTGCAAGTAACTGTTACATGAATGAGTCAGAACTTGTCCCTTTTTGCGCTTGGCTACTGTGTCTGTGCGATCTTTGCTGTTTATAGTAGCATGCCAGGGTTCTATAAACTATTTATCCTTAGATTTTCTTAAATTTCTCACCCTTTTCCCCTTTCTCTTGGCTCCTAACATGTGCTGCTCTACACTGCTGATAAATGCATTGTTTATCTGCATTTGAAGAAATCATGAAAGGCTAATTTTAGAGTTTTTAGAATCAATACCTTTCATTTTCCTTCTCCTGGAAATCAAGTTGCTTTATTAATTTGTTTGATTATATGATTTTGACACATGAAAAGCATTTAAACACCAGATTTACTGCTATGCATGTCATTATATTCGTCTTTACTTATTCCATAACTTGCAGGTTTCTTTATTGGAATTTTCACGTGATCGCAAAATGATGAGTGTGCTTTGTAACCGGAAGCAGATGGAGATAATGTTCTCAAAAGGAGCTCCAGAAAGCATACTTTCAAGATGTACCAATATACTGTGTAATGATGATGGTTCTACGGTCCCTCTTTCTGCACATATTAGAGCTCAGTTGGAAGCAAAGTATAATAGGTTAGGCCTTTTCTTTTTTTTGTGATGGTTGTATTTTTTTCTACAAGTCTGGCACGTGCGTGAATGGGATATTTGAATCCAGATAGTTCAGATTGGAAACCTGTATTCTGTTTGCTTTTTGAATAGGTAAGTTAACATTATATTAAAATTAGAGCAACCTAGCACTCAGATGGGGCAAGGCATAATATCGGTTAGGGATCCTTCATTACAAAAAGGTGGAACCCATAGGCAACCCCTTAAAGTTGGCACCAACTATAACTTAGACGCCTCATGTAGGCCTTGTGTATTTTAAACACCTCAAATAAGGCCCCGCTGTGTCATTTTGACACTTTTTGCTGACGTAGCACATTGTGTGTGATGCACCCATTCTTAGCGTTTGAGGAGCATCTTTTTTTTTTGTATTTTTTTTCATTCTTCTTCTTTTGCACTTTTTATCCCTACCACTTACTCCACCTTCCACCATAAAAATCTTTATGGAGAACCTTGCAAAACATGGGAAAAAAACCAAAAAACCGTCACACTAATGAAAAACTTTATAAGAACATGAAAGAACAAAACACGAAAAATTGAAAGAAAAATGAAGGAAGAATCCTTTCATTTCTGCCGGAACCTCGCCAGTCAATCACTATCGATAAAATAGTCCTCCAAACCAAATTTGAAGCGATAAAGAAAAATGAAAATGAATTATAAATTATTGAAAACCAAAAAAAAAAAAAAGTGGAAGAAGAACAAAGGAACAATGTCGCGAAGAAAGGGGAGGCGGGGTATAGAAAATAGGTTATTTTTGTTGAAAATTAGTTTTTTTTTTTTTTTCGTATAATTTATTTTATAAACTATTATTTTACTCTCAAATGCCACATGTCCTCTTTTAATTAATCATCATGCCATGTCGTCCGCGAGTGTATTACACTGTTATTTTAGATGATTGTAAAAAAAGTGTCAAAATGACACAATGGGACCCTATTGCAGGTGCCTAAAATGAACAAGACCTACTTGATGTGCATAAGTGAAAGTTGATGCCAACTTTAAGGGGCTGCTGATGAGTTCTGCCTTTTACAAAATACAAAAGGATGAACTCCTTCTAGCATGCTATTTTCATCCTTTACATCCGGTAGATTACACTAAAAAGCATCAGCCATAAACATTTGTCTTTCAGTTTTTGTATGGTATCTTCCTTCCCTTCGAAACATCTGGTACCCTTTTCCTTCCATATTACTGAACAGACACAAGCAGGCACCGTCTTCCATATCTTCCTCAATAGTTTTCTGATCCCCTTGTAAGCCCAGCAGTTGAGTAAGTCTTTAACTGTGTATGGTATGAGAAATATCATCCTGAATAACCTGTAGAAAAGTGACCAACTCTGGTTGGCAATTGAGCAATGCAAAAAGAGGTGATTAAGCTTTCCACCTCACTATTACATATAAAGCATATGATGCATAGCATCATTCCCCTTCTCTGTAGGTTGCAGTGAGTGAGGCATGCATTATGAGTGAACAGCCACATAAAACCTGTAATATTACAGATACTTTCTGAAGTTCTGATTTCACTTATCTGTAAAAGGAATGATAGTTGTGGAGGGTAATCTTTTTGATAACCAAGAAATCTTCGCGGTCCACACACTATTTAAAACTCAGTGGATAATGGGCCCACCTCTTCACCCTTCTCCACTTAAATACCATATTGTTGTCGCGTTATGCCCATAATCTCACATCACGCACAAGATTCTTATCAGTTAGACCAAAGCCTTGGGAGCTTGATATATATGGATAATTTTATTTTTTATCAAGTAAGGTTTTCATTGATAATAACAAGGCCAACTTGTCCATATATAAGAGATATACCAAAAAGGAGACCTACAAAATATGGTTCTCTCCAAAAGACATCCAATCCTCTATACAAACATGAACTACATTTGTGCACCAAAAGAAAATAAGGGATCAAAAACTACTTCTCAATTGAGTAAAGCTCATCTCCAGCCCTTCAAAAGCTCTCCTATTCTCTCTTTTGAAATGACCAAGCTAGAGGAGTAACATTCCATGCATTGTGGCTTCTTCTCCTAGCTCCACTCTTCCAACTAATCATCAACTCCTTCACTGATCTTGGCATTACCTGAGTGACACCAAGCCACGTAAACATATCTTCTCTTAACATCGTGGCTAATTTGCAATATAATAAAATATGATCCGCATAGTCACCAGTCTCCTTACATAGGAAACACCAACTCATGTGGACAACCTATTGCTTCCTAAGGTTTTCTGATGTCAAAATCACCCCTCCAGTAGCTAGCCACGTGAAGAAGCACACCTTTCATTGACACCTTCGTTATTCATACCGCACCATATGGAAAAATATCCTCCACTCTTACCAGAAGCTTCTTATAGAAGGACTTGACAGAAAACACTTTGTTATTCCCCAACTTCTCTACTCAAATCATTGGGTCTGTCAACTTCTCACATTTCTTTTGGAGTAATTTAGCAATCTCTGAAGTTCAGTCACCTCCCAATCCTGGAAATTCCTTTTAAACCTCAAATCTCTAAAAGTTCCATCCCCTTGTGTCCTCCTAACTTGCTGAACAAATAACTCCCTTTGGCATGAAACCATATACAGTAGGGGAATTTATCCTTAAGCACCAAACTTCCACACCACTGTTGCCCCCAAAAAACTAACTCCACTCTCCTGCCAACCCTAAAAGTAATGTTATCATCCAAAGCATCCCACCCCTTCGTTATATTCCTCCACACACCACATTCGAAAGGCATAGTGATCACTTTTGTTCTCTATTCCCCCTCCATTTCACCGTATATTCCAGCTATAACCCCTCTCCATAAAGCTTCTCCCTCAACCCCAAATCTCCACAACCATTTAAATAGAAGAGCTTTATTGAAAGTCTTCAAGTTTTTAATCCCAAATCCTCCGTACTGTTTAGGAGATGCCATAGATTCCCATCAAACTAAGTGAAACTTCTTTGCTCCGTCCGCCGCATCCCAAAGAAAATCTCTTTGCAACCTCTCCTTCTTACCTATAACATAGTAAGGTGCATTGAACATGGACATGCAATATTTAGGGATTCTCAATAGCGTGCTCCTTATATGCACTTCTTTGCCTCCTTTGGATGAGTATCTTTCTGCCACCTAGCGATGTCTTCTCTACCCTCTGAATGACAGGATTCCAAACAGTGAGATCCTTGTTAGACACACCAGAGGCAATCCTAGGTAGGTAGTGGGGGAGAGCCCCTACCCAGCACTACAAGTCATGGACAAGCATGCCAATATTATCTACTACACCAACGAGTATGATCTCACATTTACTAAGGTTGATTTAAGCCTTGAAATCACTTGCAATCAAGTTAGAGCTTGTCCAAGGTAGTCCAACTTGATCACATCAGCATCACAAAATATATAGTTGGTATGCCTAAGTGATTTCTTCCCATATGCCTAAACCTTGGTGGATAGAATTACTCGGTACTTGTGCAGGTGAGAGGTATGGGCACTTAATGGAATAGTTGAGGTGTGTGCAAGTTGACTATCATTCCACCGGTGAAAAAATAATTTTACCTCTCTGCAAGTGTTAAAAATTGAATTTAATGATGATAGGATATAAGAGGTATCTAGGAGTTAAATATTGTGTTTTGTTGCATTGTGTTGAGCCTTGGGCGGGTAAATTAATAACTATATCAGGCACAAATCCAAGATGGAAGGACATATGTATTGTAGTTGTTTTTCTTTGTCTTGTGATGGGGAATGTTAGATATTCTCTACTCAAATGTATGGTTTCCTTTGTATGTGAAATTTATATAAGGCACCAAAGTTCTAATACAAACAGAGGCAATACTAAGTGAATTCTTTCAAGACTACTTGGACTACCCAAGTCTTGGTGGATAAAGCTATCTAGTACATGTGTTAGGTAGTAGGTGTCTGGTGGATTAGTCATGTGCACATAACTCAAAAGTTGGCTGAAATGGCAGTGCTATCTGAACAGAGTTGTACTAAGACACCAATTAATAGACAGACCATTTCAAGCCTTATGGCCCATGCTAATTGTTAAGTTTCTTTTAGAACATTTTACAAGAACTTTGAGATTTCATAATATGTAATTAGTTGAGTTTCAGAAGAGCTTTAAATGATTGGGAAATTGACAGAGTAGCAAGCTTTTTCGGAACCTTAGAACAGTTCAAAGGTACATCAACTGAGGCAGATTGCTTGGTATGGTTAAGGAATAAGGAGAACAAATTTACAGTGAAAGCAGCATACCGAGTACTCACAACCTCAAACAATCAGAGTGGGACCTTGCCTTGGAAGATGATCTGGAGGGGTAAGATCCCTCACAAAGTTGCATGCTTCTCTTGGTTGCTAGCCAGAGAAGTTGTACTCACACAAGATACACTCATGAAGAGAGGTTTCAATCTTTGCTCAAGGTGTTTTCTCTGTGGTAAGGAAGCAGAGACAATCTCTCATCTCTTTCTTCACTGTAGCTGGACTGATCAGTTGTGGAATATTTTCATTATCTTGAGGGGCATTAACTGGACTATGCCGGGAAGAGTATCTGATGTATTGGAATGCTGGAACAGTGATACCAATCCCTCTAATCAGAAAGAGAGATGGAAAATTGTCCCAGCTTGCATTTGATGGATTGTGTGGGGAGAAAGAAACAAAGTTTGGTTTGAAGACAAAACCATTAGTATACAGAAACTAAAGTTGAAATGTTTAGGGCTTTTATTTTTTTGGTGTAAACATAGCTTAATTGAGGAGTTAGAATCAGTTTATGATGTACTCGATTCCTTACGAGAAAATTAAGGACCAGGAGCTTATTTTTTTTGCTCATCTGGATGTAAATATGGGAGACTACACACCCTTTCTGTAGTTTGTTATTAATACACAAAAATGTTACCTGTTCAAAAAAAAAAAGTATAGACATTGAACAACCTTTTACATGTATTTCTTTGATTAAGGGATGCTTTAGTTTTTAGAGTTCAATTACTTCGTATAAGTTCTAGCAAAATTATGCTTCTCTGACATTGCAATCTTCTTATTGTTACAACAACTTACCTGGTATAGTCCCATAAGTGGGGTTTGAGGAGGATGGGATGTATGCAGGCCTTACCTCTACCTTTGTGGGAAAAAAGGGAGATTGTTTCCGAGAGATCCTTGACTCAAGGAAATCGTTTTCAGAAAATGGTTTGAAAGAAAAGCAAGGGTAAAGCTATGATGAAAATATTGGAGAAAAGAAAGCACAAACAATACAAACTTAAGACAACCAAAATGAAAGAAATGATAGTAGTAATAAATTTGAAGAATAAGATAATGCGAGCATAATAGTGACAATACTGGTAAGGGAACCGATAAATGCTCTAGAATCCTGCTCCACCAAGTGTTGTGAGAGAAAACATTCTACAACCAACTAACCATCTATCCTAATCCTCGCTTTTCATGATCTCCTCTCTAGGGTTATTCCTTGGTGAGCTGAAGATGTGTCATGTCTAGTCTAATCTCCCCAATTCTTCCTTGGTCTACCCCTACTTCTTCTGAAACCCATCACTGCCAACTTCTCGCACATCCTCACGAGGGCGTCTGTGGTCTTCCTATTCTTATGCTCAAACCATCTTAGTCTTGCTTCCCACATCTTGTCCACCACAACAACTTCTCCCTGTGTACCCCGTATATCTTCATTCTAATCTTGTCTCTTCTAGTATGCATACATATCCATCTAAGCATCCTCATTTTGCTATCTTCATCTTCTGAACATGCGAGTTCTTGACTGACCAACACTCCACTCCGTACAACACAGTCGGTCTTATAGCCACTCTACAAAACTTATCTTTAAGTTTCGCTAATACATTATTACCAAGTCAAGAATGTATCAGCGAGAGATGTGTGTTTGAGAGAAGCTTCAATTCTACTTATATGGCTTTAATTCCAAAAAAAATAGGTGCTTAGGAGCTCACCGACTTCAGACCTATTAGCCTGATTGGTATGTGTACAAGATCACCTCCAAATTACTCACTGAGAGAATAAAAATGGTTATACATAAACTGGTGGACCCCAACATTTGGCCTTCATAAAAGGGAGACAAATAATGGATGCCATTTTTATGGCAAATGAGTGTGTTGACGCTAGAACTAGGTGTAGTGTCCCAGGCATCCTATGTAAGCAGGACATTCAAAAAGCTTATGACCACCTCAATTGGAAGTTCCTAATGGAGACTCTTTCTAAAAGGGGTTTTGGAGGTAGATGGCTAAGATGGATGAAGTTTTGCATCAGCACTGTGAAATTCTCAGTTCTAATAAATGGCTCTCATACAGGTTTCTTCTCTTCACAAAGAGGTTTAGGACAATGAGACCCATTATCTTCTTTCCTTTTTATTATTGCTATGGAGGAGCTAAATAATATGTTGAAAATTGCTCAAGAGAAGTTGTGGCTGAGAGGTTTTAGGGTCTCCAGTAGAGTGGGCGTTGATTTGGAGATTACTAGCCTTCAATATGCAGATGACACTCTTGTCTTCCTGATGCAAACATGAAACAACTCAAGATTTTAAGGGTAATCTTTGTTCTTTTTGAAGCTATCTCAGGACTTCACATCAATTTGAACAAGATTTTCTTGTATAGGTCCCTGATTTACTCTCTGGCTAGCATTTTGGGTGGAAGGATAGGAGACCTACCAACTACATACTTGGGGATGTCTTTGGGAGCCAAAAGCAAATCCATAGGCATCTGGAATGGGGTGATTGAAAAATGTGAATAAAGGTTGGTGAACAGGAAGAGCCAGTACCATTCTTTAGGAGGAAGATTAACACTCATTAGCAATGTTTTGGACTTTATGCCTATCTATATAATGTCGCTTTTACCTATTCCCAATGGTGTCATTGATAGACTAGATTCTGTGAGAAGAAACTTCATGTGGGAAGGAAATAGTGACACTAGGAAATTCTACTTGGTCAAGTGGGATACTGTGTTTAAGAGTAAACGGGCAGGGGGTTCAGGGTAAGGAATTTAAAAATCCAGAACTAATGCCTTATGATGAAGTGGTTGTGGAGATTTGCCTCCACTGAACAAGCACTGTAGAAATCTCAGATGCTTCCGGGCCAAGAGTACTTCCATCCAGAAGATTAAGTTCAAACTGCTTAGTTTTGTTTCTTTTTTGCTGTAAACAAGAGTACATGGAAGATCTAGAATCAGTTACATATGTTTCAAGTTACATATGTTTCAGGTTCCTTGTAAATTTTTCTATAGGATTGAAGATCTTCCAGCTACTCTCCACAAATGTAATTAGGAACCTTTAATATGTTATGGCAGCTTCTGATTTTTTGGAATAGACAACAAGTTGTTACCTTCTAAAAAAAAAAAAATAGGACACTGGATGTGAGCATCCATTTCATCCACCTCGCTATGGTGTCCGACTCCTCATCGATTTCTCTATTTCCTTCTCACGGTTGAGTAGGTAAAATTGTGTCTTAAGTAGGTTCAAGAGGCTCTACTACTCTCGGTATTGCCATTGCTATGGTTGTTGCAGATATTATATGTTGAGATGGAATTTGCTAATCTGTATCAGATATGGTGATATCGATGTTTCAGACAAACTTGAGTATTTTGTATAACCTTGTACTTGTGCCACTTTTGATAGTGTACTAAACATAAATATGGTAGTTATCATCAGACTTATCTGGCAGGTCCTCTAGATGCATGGATGTGCATATTTCTACCTTTAAGCTTCTGATGTGTCAATGGGTTTTTGTAGTTATTTGAAAATATGCTGTATTAATGCATATTTAAGTATATATAGGTGATGCATAACATTTTTCCCCTCCAGTTTTGCAGGAAAAGAAACTCTTAGATGCTTAGCTCTAGCCTTGAAAAGAATGCCTATGGGTCAACAATCGCTCTCCTTTGATGATGAAAATGACCTTACGTTTATTGGGTTGGTATGCTCTCTCTTCTATATGCCTTACTTTTGTATGTTAAAAGCATTACAGCTTTTTTGATTTGTTTATTTACTTTTTGCATGATTTATAGAATACTAACTTAAAACAATCTATCAAATAAAATGATATTTGGAGATTATTTCAAGCAGGTGTTTACAGTTTAGTCCATTATTTCAACTATGAACTTGAAATAAAAGAATTTGCAATTTGGAGGATAGATTTTAGGAGTATTTCAACCAAATTCTCAATTTTCAACATCAAATACTTCCTTTTTACCAATTTCAACCAAATTATGTCCAATGCCTAATATTGGAAAGAGATGGACCTGAATAGAGTCGAATAGGTACAAAGGATTGAAATAGTAGGGGCGTTTGATTGATTTGATTGGTGCCTGTAATCAAAGTCAAAGTCAAAGTCAAGCCTAAAAATTAATACTCAGTCTACCTGGTCAAATCTCGGAACAAATTACAAAATCTGATTACCTATAAGCTTGTGAGTTCAAATTTATGATTGGTTTCTCATTTAATGTCCAGTTTCATGGTCAGATCCCCTATTTAACTCATTTAAGGAACTAGGTCAAAACCCTCCAAATTTGGTATTCAAATCTCACGAATCTATGAATTAAATTCAACCAAAATCACTTGTAAAAATCTGGTGGTGTCAGGGTGAAATTACATGAATGATTGGGAACATATCACTCCAATAATGGCAAAGTTTAGGTTTGGATTTTTCACTGTTGAAATATGTAGAGATCTGTTCCTTCCTCGCGAATGTGGCACCAATCCATGCGATAGGGGAGATCATCTTATGCTGGTGTGTGTGTGTATATGTATGGAATACCTTTTTAAAAGTTATTCATCCTTAATGCATGAAATCGATACTAATCATGATCTTTTTGCACCTACGTGTTCTAATATGTAAGAAAGCTTCATTATCAGAGTTTTAAGTTCATCAAGTCCTAAGATGTTAAACTATCCAAATTGAACTTACTGAAACTACTCTATCAAGTACTACCAATGTTTTCATGTCCTCAATTCTTATAAAGTAGTCCTTATTTTGGAGTATATTTAATACACCGAAGCAAAGATACTACTGCAACCCATTGAGTTTTACAAGGACAGTCTAGAAACTGATGACCACTCACTGAAAAACCAGTCCTTATTTTGGAGTATATTTAATACACCGACTGAAAATTTATGGTTATATACCACTGAATCCGATCTCTACTATTCAGATCAAAGAAAAGAACGTTAGGAACTCACAGTTCAAATTTCAGTTTGATCAAACGGTGAACGAATCGAGAGACTCAAAATAAGGTAGCTGGTATATGACAGAAATTTCTACACTGTTTAAGGGGCCTTAGAAATCAGATAAGGCCTGAAAGTGGGGTTTTCAAAGGGTATATTTTTATCCACATAGGAAAGAAAATAAGTAGCATGAACAAAAATTCAACAATTTTCCCCTTTCCAATTATGTGGAGGAAACGCCACTACGGCAATGAAGCTACATTCTTCAAACTTTCCTCTGGGAAAAGATTTGGTCAAAATGTCAAAACCATTTGTGATATGTGTGAATTTGTTCATGTTGAAGTAATTGATCTGATGGCTTCTTATTCTTTGCAAGAAAAATGACACTTTGACTGTTGCAATAACGAACATATCTCGTTTGAGAAAAATGACACTTTGACTGGTACTTTGCATCTAAATAAAAATATTCAAAATGGTTTTGGTAGTTCTCAATCATATATTTCACTTAAGCTAGTCAGTAGAGGGATTACTTTGAACATTATTAGTGCATACACGTCACAACTGGGCTTGGAGGAGGAGTTCAAGCACTTCTAGGAGAATTTGGCTGAACTTGTGAGGGGTATACCACACACCAAGAAGCTATTCGTTGGTGGAGATTTTAATGGTCACTTCAGGGTAGCTTCTATTGATTTTGTCATTAAGCAGGGAGGATTCTGTTTTGGGGTTAGAAATAGAGTCACTTTTGGATTTTTCTAAAGCTTTCGAGTTGGTGATAGGTAATTTGTGATTTCTGATAAAGGAAAATCACTTGGTTACATTTGGCTGTGTGGTGGCCAAAACTCAAATAGATTACTTACTTTTTAGGAAAGGTGGTGGAGGCCTTTGTTAGGAGTTCAAGGTTATCCAAAGTGAAAATCTTACTCTCCTACATAAGCCCTTGGCAATGGACTTAGAGATTATTAGGGATGGGAAGAAGAGGACATTATATGACCGATCGAGGATCAAATGGGGTGGCTTTACCCTTACCTGGGCTTGGGAGATGGGGGAGAGGTTGACGTTGATGGGGGCTTGATAGAGTAGTGGGGATGCGAACAACATGTGATAGGACAGCTAGTTGCATTAGGGAAACAACTAGAGATGTGGTAGGGGTTTCAAGGGGTAACTTTGTTGGTCAATGAATAGATTGGTTGTGAAATGGAGAAGTCCATGGCTAAGTGGAAGCAAAGTAGACTGCTTATGCAAAGTTGATGGAAAGACAAGCGAATGTGGAAAGGTAAAGACACAAAGTTAGTGGTCATGACAACAAAAATGACAACTTTTGAATGCTTGTATGTCAAGCTAAGGGACAAAGGTGGAGATAAAAGTTGTACAGGCTTGCCAAGACAAGAGAGAGGAAAGCTCGAGACCAGGATCAAGTGTGAAGTACATCAAAGATGAGGAAGGTAAAGTGCTAGTGGAAGAGACACTCATTAGACGAAGATGACAAGCATACTTTCATAAATTCTAGAACGAAGAAAAGGCAGAGACATTGAGTTGGGTAATTTGGAGCACTAAGAGAGACGTCAAGATTTTTGATATTGTAGGTGTCTTAGGTTGAATATTTAAGGGTATTATTCGTACGATTAACATGGTAAGTGCAACTTGATCAGATGAGATTTTTGTGGAATTTGGGAAGAGTATAGGTGGGGAAGCCATGGTGTGGTTGATTGGGTTGTTTAATCTCATTTTTAAAATGACAAATGCTCAAAGAATGGAGGTGGAGCATAATGGTTCCGTCATACAAGAACAAAGGTGATATCCAAAATTGCAACAATTACAGGGGTATCAAGCTATTAAGTGATACTATTCAAGTTTGGGACAAAGGTGGTCATAAGGGTGAGGAATAGTTTGTCCATATCCGAGAACTAGTTCGTATTCATGCCGTGGTGATCAACTATAGAAGCCATTCATCTTGTCAGGAGATTGACGGAGAAATACAAGGAAATGAAGATAGACTTACATATGATGTTCATTTACCTAGAAAAAGCCTATGACAAAGTCTGGAGGGAAGTTCTATGGAGATGCCTAAAGGCTAGAGGTGTTCGCGTGGCTTATATTTAGGGCGATGAAGGACATGTATGATGGAGCCAAGACTCGGGTAAAGATAGTGTGAGAAGACTTGGAGCACTTCCAAGTCGAGATAGATATGCACCAAGGATCAACACTTTGCCCGTTTCTATTTGCCTTGATGATTGATATGTTGACGATATATTCAAGGTGAGGTGCCATGGTGTATGTGATTTTTAAATAACATAATCCTGATTGATGAGACTTACTAAGAAGTTGCGCTAGGTTGAGCAACACTAAAATATAGTATTTGGATTGTAAATTCAATGATGCAACACATGAGGCAAGCGTGAAAGTGAAACTTGATACGCACGTTCCTAAGAGATAGTTTTGGGTATCTTGGGTCTTTGCTCCAAGGAAATGTGGTTTCCGATGGTGTCACTCATTATATTGGTGTGATGTGGATGAACAAAGGCTTGCTTTCATAGTCTTGTGTGATAAAAAGGTACCACCAAAACTCAAAGGTAAAATCTATAGTGTGGTGGTTAGACCAGTTATGTTGTATGGGGCAGAATGTTGGCCCCTCAAGAACTCTTATATTCAGAAGATGCATGTAGGGAAAATAAGGATGCTGTGATGGATGTGTGTATACTAGAAACACGAAGATTAGGAATGAGGATATCTGCTATAAGGTAAGAGTGGCTTCCCTGGTGGACAAGATGAATGAATGGAGATTGAGATAATTTGGTCATGTGAGGAGGAGATATGCAAATGTCTCAGTGAGTGAGGAGGTGTGAGAGGTTGAATGTAGTGGGTATGAGGAGAGGTAGTGTTAGGTTGGAGAAGTATTGGGAGAGATGATTAGATAAGACATGGTGCAAATTCAGCTAACTAAGGACATGACCTTAGATAGAAGGGTATGGAGGCCATAGATTAGGGTAGAAGGTTAGTAGATAGTTGAGCGTCGTCTTGTTTTTCGATGGTATTAGGTTTGGTGGTAGTCTGGAGTGCCTTGTCTGTCGTAGTACATCCTTATTCATGTAATTTCTTGCTTTTGTTATATGTTACCATCTGTTGTTTATTATGTTTAGGGGATTGCACTATTTTGTTGATGTTACTGTATCTAGCTTGTATGCTGTGCACTGCTTTCATATGAGTTGTCATAAAGTCTTCATTGCCCTTTTTTTTATTACCACTTTGTTTTGCTTCACTTGAGCCGAGGGTCTTTCAAAGACAACCTCTCTACCCTCCCAGACCCCACTTTGTGGAATTTCATGGGGTATGTTGTTGTCACTCATATATTTCACATAATTGCAGTTTGTAAACATAATAACTTTTTGCATATAAATATAGTGTTGTCAAAGCCTCGCTTGAATCCTGAAGTTAGGTGCAAAACAAGTTGTTCCCTTCCCACGTCCCTTGCTTGGGCTGCACTTAGGTGCAGGCATCAAGACTTGAACGCATGTGCTTCATCGCCCATGGGTTATGTCTTGAAGTGCAGCACTGACAAGAAATATTTTACCTGATTGTAGTTGTTTATATTTTATTTAAGTTATCACTGCTTGGGTTAATATCAATTTCTCTTTTTGAGAAAGAATATCGATTACTCTTTATCAGACATATATCGATCTTTCTATCTTTTTCTTCATTTGCGCTTCCTTCATAAAATTCCGTGCTCTGTTGTGCAGCGCTTTAATTGCCCCTATCCACTTAAGTGGTTCTCATTTTAATGTTGACCATATGATTATGTACCTACTCTTATATTTGCTTAATTAAAGGTTGGGATGCTTGATCCACCAAGGGATGAAGTAAGAAATGCCATCCTTTCATGTATGAATGCGGGCATACGTGTAATCATTGTTACTGGGGATAACAAGGTAAAATGAATAGTCCTGTGATAATGAATATCTCAATCTGCAATGATCTGCTCTGGACCCAATTTAATATCTACATAATTTTAGACAACTGCAGAATCCTTGTGCCAAAAAATTGGTGCCTTTGATCACTTGGGAGATTTTACTGGGTTTTCTTATACTGCCTCTGAGTTTGAAGAACTCCCGGCATTGCAGAAATCAGTGGCATTACAACGAATGACAATTTTATCCAGGTAATAACATTGCTTCTTATTGTTACTGGATCCCCTTTAAATTCTTTAATTTATGTCTATAAAACTTATTGACTCCTAGTTTCCAACTTATCCTTTTGTCATTTATAATGGTTGATTTCCATGTTCTTAGGGTCGAACCATCCCACAAAAGGATGCTGGTTGAAGCATTACAGAATCAAAATGAAGTGGTACCTTTCCCCTCTTTTGGTTGTTGCTTTTGATCTTTCCTCAAGTTAGTTTGGCCTTTCACAATTATTTTGTTTATACTAGAAAGGAACCACATAAAAATGTGGCTTGTAACTTTGTCAAGAGTACAATAGTTTTAGGTAAAGTATGAATCATGATAAGCTGTTTTGAACAGGTAGTGTGATGCATGTAGTGAGGCTGGTGAAATTGCACTTGTACACCCAATCATTTGATTTCAAACCATTACCACTTTGTCTATATGCTGGGGAGACTTCTCCTTCTGCCCGTTAACTGTGTGCTTATTTATCTCTATGATGAGGGGTATTTTGGCATCTCGAATGCTCCTTGGCTTTTCTCTGATATGTTGTGCCTTTTCATGTCCAATTTTCTGAGCTTACATCTTCAGTATTGAATGATGTAAGATTCTGAACCTATTATATAAATATTCTCATGTCCTTGTGTAAATCTGTTCTGATCTTATAGCCTTCTTCTCAAGCATTTCACTACCTGAGTTTGCTTAACATTGTTATCATTGAAATGGACCATAACCATGTTGAGTTGTTACCTCTGTTATTACTTCTTTTTAATCCTTTGCACGTGAAACTTTTTTCATCCTTATTTAAATGGACAGGGGTCTCTTTGCCTTGTCCTTAAGTGTTTGGATTACCTAATCTTGCTTAAATTCTTCTGTTGAAATGCACTATAAAATTGCAGGAAGCAACCTCTGCTTTTAGTTCCATGCTTATGAAATCTCTCTCTTCTGAATTATTCCTGTGTTAACAAACTTAGTTCGTTCTCTTTTCTTTTCATATATATATATATTTTTTTTTATATATATTTTAATTCAAAGGTTGCAATGACTGGAGATGGAGTAAATGATGCACCTGCACTGAAGAAAGCAAACATTGGAATTGCCATGGGATCTGGAACTGCAGTTGCAAAGGTACTTGCTTTTTCTGTGTAGCTTATTTCTGGTGATGAATTAAAAAAGCTAGCTAGAAGTCTTTACTGATTTATATTAATACTTCCACTGAGAATTGAATTTCAGATTTCCCAGATGCACTCTAAAGCTTCCCCTTTAGATAGTCAAGAGATTTAAGGTTGTTATGTTTTCTAGCTCAGTAATATGGTTATTCTTTATGGATGCCCATCATTAGGAATCCAGTTATTAGGAAAGTTTTCTTAGCTTAAACTGTTCTTATTTTATGTAGTCTGAACTCCTATATCATGGATACTCATGTATATTTTGTCTAAAATCAATTCAGCAAGAGTTTTTCTCTTTCACTATATGGAATCAGAGTCTCTACAATCTTTAAGTAAACATAAGTAGCTTCCACTTACTGGCAGAAGGCATAATTGCCCAAGTTTTTCCTTTTTCCATAATATAGTTGACTTTTTCAGTTACCATTCTAATGGCATTAGTTTTATTTCTGATGACACCATGCCAGCTTTTGGTGATTATTTTTGTGGCATCATCTCTCCTTCGACCCGACCATTTTTCAGGTGAATTTACAAGTAAAACATTTTCTAAAGCTTCTTCTGTCTTCAGGGGATCAGTATTTGGGTATTAAGTCTTCCTCTAAACATAAGTTTTCGGTCATTTTATAAAAATATATCTTCTCTTCTTTTTTCTTCTTAATATCAGAGTTTGGATATTGAGTCCCTCAACATTGAATTTCTGGTCATTGTTCCGGGAAGGTCTTCTTGCCTTTTTCACCTCATGGTATAAGAATACGGATTGAGTTACATTTTCCAATCACTGTTTTGAGGAAGTACAATGGAGAAGAGGGGGGGGGGGGGGGGGAGGGTTATTATTTATCAAACTTATTCTGTTTGTCTGTAAAATAACAATGGACAATTGATTATGTATCAAACCATAGGTTTCCCTAGCCCTTCCTTCCCGAAAGGAAGAGTTTGGAATTCTTTTTTCTTTCTGAGGGTTCAGGAGATTGTATCTAGTTGTAAGAAAATAAAAAAATTGCCTGGGTAGCTGAAGTGGTGAAAAAAGATGTTATATCAACAACAAAGAAGGCTCCCAGATACATTTATTGAGGCCAGAAAAGACCACTTCTTTTCCGGTGATAGACTTGAGTTATCCCGCATCTCCTTAGAGTTTTTTCTCTAATCATGTAGTAATGATTAATTTATAACTACTGGAGATCCAATATGGGGGAGAATATGATACATTTTGTTGTGGCTTTCAAGTCTTACGCCATTACTATGGGAAGATAATTGCACATGTTTGTCCCAAACTCAGAAGTTCAGTTGGTACATAACAGGGGTTTATGCTCCAAATTGCAAACAGAGCAAGACATGATGTTTGGTGGAGATGGGGGTTCAGGGGAGGGGGGGGGGGGGTTCTCATATTTCGTTGAAGCTATTGAGCTGAGCTGGAAGGGGCAGTTACACATGGACCAAAGGAAATAAAGAGGAAATATCTTCCAGAGTTGATAGGCTAATTATTATATGGAATGGAATGACAACTTTTGCAGGATTAAGCAAGAAATCCTAGCAAGAGTTAATTCAAAATTCCTGGGAATATAATAAGTCCTATTTCATGTAATAAAATTGGCAATTGGAGACCAAAAGATTCAATGACAGAGTTAAGACTTAGTAGACCTCCATTGTTACAGAAGGAATGCCAGATAACATTCTTGCAAGTAAGCTCAAAATTCGTAAATTGAAAGAATGGAGCTTAAATAATCATATAGTAATATGGAAGTGATGAACTTTTTTTTTTTTTTTTTTGAAACTGGTAACATTAGTGATGAAACTTTTTATTCTAAATCTAATCTCATAATTGGATACTATACAACAATAAAGATATGTCTGAATCAGGAGGAGATTTTCAGGAAAGCTAATCTTTGTCTAGAATTTAAGGAGTATGCCAGAAAGGAAGAAATAACATGTAGAAAAGATCCAAGGCATTATCGCTTAAACAGGGAGACAGGAAGACGGAGTTCCCTTCAAGAATTGTCAATGTACACAAGAGAAACAATATTATTTATTAACTGGTGGTGGAGGGAGGGATTATGGAAGTGCCAGAAGATATCACAACGGAGATTATCACGTTTTATTAGAAGCTTTATTCTGAAATTGAGGATGGCGGCCTAACTATAATATGAACAATTCTACTGCGGAATAGGAGGTCCTAGAAAGCTTGACTTGATTATGGAAGTGCCAGAAGATATCAAAGGGAAAAACCACCTTTTATTAGAAGCTTTATTCTGTAATTGAGAATGGCGGCCTAGCTATAATATGAGTAATTACCCTTCAATTTCGACTGAGGAATAGGAAGTCCTTCAATGCTCAACTCTATGTGCAGTGATCAAAGCTTCTGGATATGATTGGTGTGCCATGTGTTTTTTCATCAAGTGTTGGGAGGTAGTCAAGACAAATATAATGACAACTACCAAAAATTTTCATTCCTAGGAGATGTTAGTAAAAAGCTTAAGTCCTACTTATGTGACTTAAATCCCTAAAAACAATGGAGCTAAGGAGTTGAGAGGCCAATTAGGTGCACCTTTTTACATTGACACTTTAGGCCAATTGAAGTTAATTTTTAGCGCTATGAATTTTTTTTGTGAACAGTATGTAACTTGAATGTTTAATAAGCAAACGCCTTTTTACATTGAACGATTGTGAATTTTTCAAGGTATTGTGACTTTTCTTGAAGGATTGTGACTTTTCTGATAAGACACAATAAGCACATATATCACAATAAGCACATGTTCATGCTACCCTTTGCTAGCTATAAATTTAGAAGTGCCCTCTCATTTTTAAACATAGGTAACTTGAATGTTTAATTATTATAATAGCCCAAACTAACCCTTCGTGGTGGCCCAGTGGTTTGGACTTGGGACTTCCATGTTGGAGGTCTCAAGTTCGAAACCTCTTGCCAGCGAAAGCAAGGGGTTTGCCTTCTAGGTCGAGCTCGTCGTACCAGGCTTGCCTAATGCGGGTTACTTCTCCTATGTCGTTGTGAGCTATTGCATAGAGCGGAGTTTTTACCCTGTGCGCACCCAAAGGCTAGCGGCTGCGGGTTTCCCTTGTCATAAAAAAAAAAAACATAATACCCCAAACTAAAAAAATTCTAACTTGGATATTAAATTACTATATTACACCCATTTTAGTATATTTGCTATGGTTTACATTTATATTTATTTATTTATTTAGATTATATTATATTTAAAGCAGATACCTTTTCACATTAAAGGGTTGTGACTTTTCTGATAAGACACAAAATAAGCACATGTTCATACCACCCTTTGCTGGCGGTAAATATAGAAGTTTCCTCTCATTTTTAAACATAGGTAACTTGAATGTTTAATTATTATAGTACCCCAAACTAAAAAATCTTAACTTGAATATTAAATTACTATAATACACCCATTTTAGTATATGTGCTATGTTTTACATTTATATTTATTTATTTATATTATATTTAAGGCAGACATCTTTGCACTTTAAAGAGTTGTGATTTTCTGATAAGGCACAATAAGCACATGTTCATACTGCCCTTTGTTGGCTATAAATAGAGGAGTTCATTAGGCTCAAATTTTTAATCTTTCATCTTGGTTTATTATTACTCCCTTTGTCCAACCATAATTGTTCACTATTGACTTGACATCGAGATTAAGAAGCTGTAAATGATAGGGGTAATTTTACCAAGTTACCCTTATTAAATATCAGTCATCTAAACATTGAAAATGAATAGTATTTAATAGCAAGGGTAAAATAGACACAAATTAGTAAAGTACTGATTGGTTTTATAAACTGGATAAGTATTGTTGGAAATAAAAAATAGTATAGTGGACAAGTAAAGATGGAAAAAGGGAGTATTATTTTTGAATATTTTTTCTTCTCTTTTTTTTGTGTGTTCTCTCTATTAGACTTCTTTGATTTGATTTTCTATAAAAAAAATTGTAATTTTATTTGGGCTAAAATATTTAGTTCAAATAGACACAAACCAGTGTTGTCAAAGGTACGTTGAAGCCCTGAAGTGAGGCTCAAAACGTGTTGAGCGCTTCGTCTCGCTTAATATGCGTTTTAGTGTCGTCATCAAGGTGAATGTGTAAGCTTTCCTATGTAGTTCAGAAACAGTGAACTTTCTTTACAAAAAATCATATCTTCCTATTGCGATTATGTCCAGCTTTTGTCATTCTTAATTTTCTTTGATCTGTAACCTGCGAAAAGCCTTTTGGGTCTAACATACCTAATATTCCATATGAAAGCTTTTATCTTCATAAATAATTATTGTGTTTTGTACCATACTTAAGTTGCATGAAATTAGGTGTTAGTATTAGTTTATCTATGGTACTACTTGTTTGTTTCTTCCATTTCGTTTATCTTATTATCTTGTTGTTGTTACTGGTTCCTTTTCTTCTTTTCTTAAGCCAAAGTATATCAAAACCAACCTCTCTATTTACAGACTTCTACTCCTAAATTTTCAAAGTTCACCAACCAATTAAACAAATCGAACCAAGAAATCAGTAACTCTTTTACTCTGAAACATCAAAGTTCACTAATCAATTCAACAAATCGAACAGGATAAGCTTAATACAATGAAAAAAAACCCACAAAAATAGTGCTCAATCACTAACTAACAGGTCAGCTAATATAAATCCTCTATCTACTTTATACTCCATCTAAAACAGTTCCATGCCACTACTCAACAATGTCTTAAAAGTACCATATAAAGAACAGAGCTTTTCTACACTTCTCATGTCAAACAAACAGAACCATACCATATGGTGCAGTCTATCTTTAGAACTGATTTCCTTCAACGCCAGCATACGTATTTTCAAAAGTAGCGAGGAACACTTAGCTGACGATCATGGCAAAGAGGCACCCTCTTAGAATGATCAATTACGATAGAAATATCAAATCAAGAACCAAAAGAATAGATTCTTTATAAGCACAGTACTATTCTCGAAACTTGTTAATATCAAACTCACACCAAAAAAACTTCGATAGATAAAGCAGAAAAAGATAAGAAAGCAGCGAATCCGAACACGGTAGTATCTTGGTTAGAACTTTCGATCATCATTAAATCGAGGTACTTTCTGACAATTACGTCTCTCTCAAAGACTTTTTCTTTCCTTTCTTCCCCAACTTTCATTCTTTAACCCCACTCCCTATACCCCCACTGTTCAATATCTATACTGTATCGATATTCTTACCTATACATACATACAGATTTGTCCCCTTTTCCAAATCCACCATTCATTTCAAAAGGACAAACCCCTCTTACCAATTTTTGAATTATTTCATACGTTAACTATCTGAGTGAAAAATTATGGCATAGGGATAACAAATGAAATATATTATTCTCAAAATTCTTGTGAAGAATTATCACATCAAAAAAAACTCTGATAAACAAAGATGAAGAAGACGAAGCGAAAGACCTCACATGCAAAAGCTTGAACGATGGAAACCAAGAGGCCAGAAGATGAAAAGGCAAAACTTTTTTCTTGCTGAAATAGTGGAGAGTTGAACCTTTTGAGAGCAGATTTCTTAGAGAACAATATGAGCCTGTGGGAATATGATATTTGCAGCACCCAAAAATGACAGGAGAAGCCAATTTTTTCCATGCTAATCTCTTAGGACAGACAAAAAGTTTTTTGAGTTTATCCATTGAAGCAGACCAAAAAGAACTCTTTGGTAAATCAAAAAGTTGCAGCAGTCTAAAACATTAACTAACCACACAATAAATGTGAAATGTACAGCAGTATTGAGGATGATTAGATAAATCAATTGAGGCAGTTGAAGATTTTATTCAGGATGTACAAAAGGCAGCAGCAGCTGAAAATATGAAATACCTATATCACCCCTAAATCAGCTGGTTAGGCTTAGGTTTTTTTGACCATTAAAAGCAGAGTACAACTTTAAAAGCTAAAATGTACAAATACAACAATGCAGATAATAAGGGAAATGCCTAAAATGCCCCTAATCCAGGGTAAATAAGGAGCTCAACTCTCCCTTATATATAAGGAGTAATATATATGCATATGTACATATACATATTCATATTTGATATTTTATGTTGTTAATTACTGTGGTAAATAGTAAATTTTTACATAATTTTCATATAATATATGATACTCTCTTTGTCCCAATTTATGCGGTACACATGGAGTTTCAAGAGTAACCAATTCTTTTTATAAGGTTTTAGATAATTAAGTTATTAATATAATAATTTTAAAGTAATTTTCACATAGTATATGTTACTCCCTTTTTTCCAATTTATGTGGTGCAGATGGAATTTCGAGAGTCAATTAAATTTTTTAATATATGTTTAGATATTTTAATTCGTTAATTATAATTATTATGATTTATAATATTTTTTTACGTAATTTCTAAATAGATAAATTATTAAAAATTCCCTTTAATAATTTAATACCAATTCCTTCTGACACTTGTGTTTTACATTGTTGTAGTTGCAAAATATTGAATTTCTATTGACATCTTTCAATTCAAAGAACCCTAGATATTGGAGTAAAGGATCTTCAACAAGGATGCTTTAGTATGTCATAGATTCTTATTCAAGACTTGTATCATTTCATGATATGAATAGCTCTGGAAACATGTGAAGTGACATTTTTTCTTCATATATTTCTTTTCACAATTTAATTTGCCGAACTGGAAAAATGTTGCCACTGCTGGAAACAATTTAGTGAATTTGTAAAACAATATTTGTATCCTACTGTACATTGGTGCAACAAGCTTTTTGTTATTTCTCTGCAGTTCAAGATGATTTTAGCAAGAATTTCACTGTTTGATCACAAAGTGGATTTTGTTTTTCACTTTTCTGTCCGTCCGTAATTGTTTATATTGGACTCCCAAATCAGACATTTGAATCCCTTTCATGTGGTCTCAACTTGCAGAGTGCTTCAGATATGGTTTTAGCAGATGACAACTTCGCCACCGTTGTTGCAGTAAGCTTATATTCTTTTTCATTAAATTCTGCTAAATTTTTTGTCCTTAAAATTATATTCCTTTGGTTAATTGAATTATGTTTTCTGTGCAGGCAGTTGCTGAGGGAAGGGTTATATATAACAATACGAAGCAATTTATTAGATACATGATATCTTCAAACATTGGTGAAGTGGTCTGTATATTTGTGGCTGCTATGCTTGGGATTCCTGATACTCTTGTGCCTGTGAGTTGGTAGTCTATAACTTCTAGAGTTCATCTCTGTTTTTAAGCATCTCAAGTACACATTTTTCCCTTTCTTATCTGAATTAAGCAGTCATATTTTGCTTACTTCCGCATCCAAGTAAGTGGCCTAGTGGTCAATGAAGTTGGTTGAGAGCCATGATAAGCGATGATAACTCAAGAAAGTATAATGTGGATTAACATTTCAAGTGATTGTATATCTTTTTGAAGTGCAATCGGTTGGCTAGGAGGAGGCAAGTCTGCAGTAGGAGTAGGGTTCGGCGCATGACATGAATCAACTAGGACTAGTACTGGGTGCAAACGACAATGATAAGTCAGGAGTGGTGGCACTACAACTAGAGATGTAGATGTAACGGTAGATTCCTTAAAAGTCAAACAGGTAAGACCTGGGTAAGACCTTAGAGACATCTGAATTATCAGAAGATGTATAGTAAGGTTGAGATTAAACGAGTGTGACATTAGCGGACATAATGTATCGACGAAGATCAGGTGAATAGCAACGATATTCTTCTTTAACTCAAGAGTAACCAAGAAAAAATTTGTAGGAAAGTAGTCAGAATAGACCTCATCCACCGGCGCATGGTCAGATCTCGCCGAAAAATTCAAACCTCTAATCGGCGCGTGAGGTGGTCTTTTTCGGTGGGTTGACTGGGGTTGTCGCTGGAGATTGAGAGACCCAGTGGTGGTGGTGGTTATTAAAAAGCACTTAACAGAATAAGATGATGACCGAAATCAGTCTTCGCAGTTAATTTCACCAATGCTATGATATTATGTGAGAAATATTGGAGAAAAATATTATTGAATTGTATATACATTATTACACAAAGTTCCTATTATAAACCACTATAATACTGTGAGAATTATAAGAAAAATATTATTGAATTGTTGTATCTACATTATTGCGGAGATGAGGATGTTGAGATGGATGTGTGGGCACACTAGGAGCGATAAGATTAGGAATGAGGTTATCCGGGAGAAGGTGGGAGTGGCCCCTGTGGTGGACAAGCTGAGGGAAGCGAGACTGAGATGGTTTGGGCATATGAAGAGACGGTGCGCAAACGCCCCAGTGAGGAGGTGCGAGGGGCTGGTTGTAGAGGGTACGCAGAGGGGTAGAGGTAGGCCTAGGAAGTATTGGGGAGAGGTGATTAGACAGGACTTGGCTCAGCTTCACATTATCGAGGACATGACTCTAGATAGGAAGGAGTGGAGGTCGCGTATTAAGGTTGAAGGTTAGTAGGGTTAGCGTGTTGTCTTTCCTTGCGAGGGTATTGGTTGGTAGCGTTTGTAGTAGTCCTAGCCTGGCACTTGTAGTTCTTGTCTGTGATCCTATAGTCATATGTTGTTTACTGCGTTTCACCTCTCACAGTATTTTCTTGATGTTATTGTCTCCGTTGTTGATTATGCACTATTTTTCTTATTGGATGTTATGTTTTATATATTGTTTCCTCTTCTTTTACTTGGTTTGGATGTACTTGAGCCGAGGGTCCTCCGGAAACAGCCTCTCTACCTCCACGAGGTAGTGGTAAGGTCTGCGTACACTTTACCCTCCCCAGACCCCACTTTGTGGGATTTCACTGGGTATGTTGTATGTTGTTGTTTGTATCTACATTATTACATTGAGACCCTATTTATAGACACTACATTGGACTCCTAGTCTAACTAGGATTCCAATTCCTATTCCTATTCCTATTAGTATTCCTATTCTAAGTAGGATTTGTATATACTTTATTCCTATTCTAACACTCCCCCTCAAGCTGGTGCATACAAATTATATGTACCTAGCTTGTTACATATGTAATTAATATGAGGACCGGTGAGCGACTTGGTGAAGATATCTGGAAGCTGATCATTTGACTTCCCAAATTTTTTAACAATATCTCCTGAGACTATTTTTTCTCTGACAAAGTGACAGTCAACCTCAATGTGCTTAGTCCTTTCATGAAACATTGGATTTGATGCAATATGAAGGGCTGCTTGATTATCACACACAAGTTCCATCTAGTTGATTTCGCCAAATTTTAGCTCTCCTAGCAACTGTTTGATCCAAACTAGCTCACAACTGTTTGATGCTTTATTTGTTTCTCTTCTAAGCATGTTAGGTTGCCTTCTTTGTGATTCCCTAATTATTCGTGAATTTACTTTTTATTTAGATTTATTAGGTGATTTTGTTAATATGCAGGTCCAACTGCTATGGGTAAATTTGGTCACTGATGGATTACCTGCCACAGCTATTGGGTTTAATAAACAAGACTCAGATGTTATGAAGTCCAAACCTCGGAAGGTATTATTTTCTCTCCTGTCGTGGTTTGATATAATATGATCCTTTTGTTTACATTTACTACTGCTCTTTTGTTGTTTACTATAAGGCTTAGATGGTACACTAGCTTTGAGCTTACCAGCTCCACTTCGCATGCATTTATTTTGTTGTTTATGCTACCTTGCTGGCGAATCAGGCTTGTTATTTATATAAGTTTGTGTTGATTATGGACTATGTGATAGTCTTGTTAAGTTAGGAGATCTTAATGGTCTATTATTTAACCCAAAGCATGAAGCATACATTTTAAGGTGTCATGAACAGAGACAGCCTGCCTGGGAACTGATGCGGAACTTTCTGTTCTTCCTGGTTTAAAACTAAACAGAGGCTATTTGACTGAATAATTTAATTCTGGAAGTTAAGTTCAGGTACTATTGCTTTACAAGTTTCTTACTCAACTTTCATTTCTTTAGTTCAAATTTATGATCTATATCATATATCAGAAAGATGTTGGAAGCAGAGCATCCAGATACAATCAAACCTCATTATAATGGCAGTGTTTGTCTCAAAATTTCATGGTTACTATTGTGAAGTGGTGCTATATATGTATACTGACAATTGATAATTAAATCTCATTTAGCTGTTATAAAGCATGCAAATGATTAGTTTAATGATTTTGTACCAAGAAGAAGAAATGTATGTGTTAATCATTTAAACAAAAATATAGAAAGAGTATGAATGTAAAAAAGGCCAACTCATGTAGCCTTTCCTCGTGAAATTATGACCATAACAGATGGGCACCATTTAAATACAATTTCTTTCCTTTTAGATATTCACACTTGAAATTTACTATGTGTGTGATATTAATGATGATTACCATAAATATTTTAATATTTTATTGTTATACAAAAAGAAAAAATATTTCTTGCAACATATTATGGCGGGGTAATTTTACAAAGTGTGTACCGCTATAATGAATGATACTAATGTTATAGGTAGAATGTTGTTATAGAGAAGTAAAATATAACATGAAAAATCGATTTTGGAATAAATCAGGCAGTTATAGTGAAGCAATGTTATTACAAGGTTTGATTGTATAGGATGAGTGTTCATAATTCATGTGATCTTCTATCCTAGGTCAAACTTATATTTGATTATAAGTGGTTTGTAACACTTGGAATAGATATTACATGAAAAACTTAGGGTCAAATTTCTGGTTAAAAATGATAAAGCATGACATGTTCTTTTTTAGGGTGATCACATTTAACAAATTGCCTGTTCACGAATAAGTCCCAATTGTCAAGGTATTTTCGTCTTTGGCACGACCTCTTTGGGCCAGCTCAAGGATTTTGGGCCTCACGGTCAGTGTTGTAAAAAGCGCAAAAAAGCGCGCTTAAAGCGAGAAGCGAGGCGAGGCGAGGCCCTTGCGCTTTTATTTCGTGAAGCGAGGCGACATTGAAAAGGCGCTCGCTTCTACTGTAGAAGCGAGAAGCGCAGAAAAGCAAAAGCGTAAAAAAAGCGCGCTTAATTTGAAAAAGCGCAAATTAGGGTTTTTTTTTTTTTTTTTTTGACAAGGTAACAGTTTAGGGTTTCTTTTTTTAAAATTGTAAGTTTTTTTTTTTTTTTAATTGCTGAAATCCTTATGCGACTTAATATACTCTTTGCGACTTCAAATTCTTTTTTGGACTGCTCTTTTCCTTCTTCTTCTCTGCTGCATGAGTTCTCCTTCTTCTTCTCTGCTGCATGAGTTCTCCTTCTTCTTCTCTGCTGCATGAGTTCTCCTTCTTCTTCTCTGCTGCGACTGCTCTTCTCCTTCTTCTTCTCTGCTGCGTAAGTTTTCTTCTTCTCTTCTTCTTTGCAACTGATCTGCGATTTTTTTTCTATTTTTGGTTGCTGCCAGGTTGCCACTGCTGTAAGTTCTCTTCTTCTTCTTCTTCTCCTCCTTCTCTTCTTCTCTTTGAGGCTGCTGCTACTGCTTTTTTTTTTTTGGTTGCTGCTGGGTGTTATCTATATTTTTATTGCTGCATTTTTTTTTTCCAATTTCTGTTTGCTGCTCTGTTTTTCAATCTCTATTACTGACCTGCTTTTTTTTTCAATTAATATTACTGCTCTGTTTTTTCCAATTCTTTTGCTGCTCTGTTTTCTTTCCACTTGAAGAGTTTGAGGATCTTGTTGAAGAATAGGAGTTTGATTCTTTTGTGATTTAATTATGTTTTTGATTTTTTGCTTTATATGTTATGACTTATGAGTATTATTGACTATCTATTTACTTTTAATCTAAGAATATATTACCTCTATTCAGTTATTTAATATTTTTTTATTTTTATACTAAATATCGCTTTACTTAAAAAAAGCGCGCGCTTCGCTTCTCGCTTCTCGCTTCTGTGAAGCGAGCCCTCGTCGCTTTTTTCCGCTTCTCGCTTCCCAAAACACTGCTCACGGTTTTGTTCCCTAGTATTTTAACCCAAAAGGCGCCTTAAGGTGACCTAGATGGATTGGGTTAAAGCGTTACAATATCTTGGTAGTTTGGCCTGGTATTGGAGTTGGTATCTCTCAGGTGGTAGGGCATCTCTTCAAGGATGTCAAGTTTTTTAAGGGATTGAGCGTATTGCCCACGAACCGATGGTGGGTGAACTCGAAAGGGAATTTGCAGTGAAAGTTGTCGTAGTAAAATTTCATATCAGAATGGGAGGGAAAGGTTAGGGGCTATATAAGGTGAGTTCATTATTCAACCATGAGGCCCACTAGCCTTGGGTATCCCAAAGAGTACATACCAAATTAGACAATACCTTGGCAGTTAGGCCTGGGCTGTATTAGAGTTGGTACCACCCCTAACACGGTGGTGAGACATGCCTCAGTGAATACACCGAGTCCATAAGGGAGGGTGAATATAACAACCTATGGATCTGTAGTGGTTGAACTAGTAAGGGGATTCATGGTGAAACTTGCCTTAGACAAATCTCACATAGGAGTGGGATGGGATGTTGGGGTCTATATAAGGGTGTGTTTAGGATTCAATTTTTAAGGCCCATTTTACATTAAAGCTCATACTAAAATGTGAGGCCAAAGTCTTGAGGTGGCCTACAGGGGTCCAAAACAAACAATACCTTGGCAATTGGGTCTAGGCCATGGCAGGTGATATCAAAATCAGTACTTCCCCTAGTACGAGGGTGGGGTAAATCATAGCGAGTACGCGGAGTCCCTAAAAGAGTGTGTGTGTGTTGATTAAGTGGACCAGCCTATGGAACAGCTGGCAATTGAATGCAAAAGGAATTTTGTTGTGAAACTTATCTTAGGCGATCCATGTAGTCCAAATGTCTTGTGCTTGCCGGAGGGGTCGGGTTAATGCAGACAAACCTTGGCAGTTAAGCCTGAGTCACGACATTGTTTCTCCAACTTCATCTTTAGAGTAAGAGAGAACTGATTTCTTTGTGATATGTAAATGCAATCAAGCATAAAATAATTGGAGAATCCCTTCAGAGTGATACAGTGTCGTTGCATGATTATACAATGAATTTATCTAACAGGATTTAAGGATACAAAATTAAGACTGGTTCATCTGATGCTGTTTTAATAAACAAAGAGCACATTAAGCTAGACGAAGCCATCAACACATTTTGAGCCTCTCTTCAAGGCTTAAGCTTGCATTTGACAACACTGGTTATAGTACAGATAGCTTATGTACTTCACCTTTCTTAACAAACTTATATAAATTGTTTCTTATACATTGTTTTGCTAGAAAAGAATCATGGTCGTTGGTTGAACTTATGAATCACCCAAGTTTGCCAAGTTTGAATAGAATTATCACTCTGCTTTCCTAGTTTCTTCTCTCTCTCCCTCGTTAACAGTGTCCATCTTTCTGAAACAAGCATTTGTAGCTTTTCCTTTCACAAATATCTTCGATGACATTTCTAGTTATTTGATTAAGTTCATCCTAAATGCTTGGGACACGTGCTTGTCAGCACGACATGGAAGGTGGAAATTGCACTTGTTAAATGTTTTTTTTTTTTTTTTTGGTATTGTTCAACTTTACTGGCTGTGACAGTGAAGTGTCAAGTGCCCTTACTATATTAAAGTTAATTGTGATCTTTCTGTTTTTTTATCTTCCATAAAATGTTTGCTCATTATCTTAATTTCTTGCCTCGCAAATGCGTTAATATTTTAACCTTTTCCAAAAATTAGAAAGCTAGGTGTTGAAAAAAAGTCAAATCTGAAACCTCCTTTCACTTGTTTATGACAGGTCAATGAAGCAGTGGTTAGTGGGTGGCTGTTTTTCCGTTATCTAGTTATTGGAGGTAGACACATTCCTTATTTACTTTTGTTGCGTACCTAGTATTTGGAAGTTTAAGGCCTCTGTTTAGTCGAATAGTATATCGAAAGTACTTCTTACTCGCTGAAGTGAGGGTGAATATTTTGAATGTTATTAGCATACAGTAAACACTGACATTTGGAGATAAAATTTGTTTGTAGTTGTTAGTTCTTTATATGATACCTGACCTGTCCTGCATTTGTTTTCCTTGACTTTTGTTGATTGTAATTCTCTTTCGTGCAGCATATGTTGGACTTGCCACTGTTGCAGGTTTTATATGGTGGTTTGTTTATTATGATAATGGACCGAAACTCCCATATACTGAATTGGTAAGTTCACTCGAAGATGTTCCTTATATTGATGGGGTTGGAGTAGGGCTGGCAAAATGGGTAAAATTAATGGTTATACGTTCGAGGATCGGGTATCCAATCATTTAAAAGTGGGTCAAATATGGATCAACCCATGTTAGAACATGAATAGGTTTATTTATACAATTCTATTAGAATAGGAATAGGTTTATACAATCCTATTAGAATAGGAATAGGTTATACAATCCTATTTAGAATAGGAATAGGAATAGGAATACAAATAGAAATAGGAATAGTAAATAGTATCCTAATTTGTAAAGGATTGTAGTCCAGTGTCTATAAATTGGGTCTCAATGTAATGATGTAGACACAACAACAATTCAATAATATTCTTTTTCTATATTTCTCACAACCCATATTATCCATCATAAAATATGGATAAACCATGGATATCTACCAATTGCATGCCCCTTAAAAGTATGCAAGGGTGTAGGAACCTCTATAATGTACAATTATTTAGGTTGTGTTTGGTATGAAGAAATTTTTTTTCCAATTTTCTCATGTTTGGCTGGCTTAAATGTTTTGGAAAATATTTTTCAAATAGATTTATTTTCCTCTAATTTAAGGAAAATGACTTCCTTACATAAAGCAAGGAATTTTTTTCAAAGCTTCCCTTAAATTAGACCCGACTTCTGACTTTCGACCTCAACCCATGACACAAGATCCTACTTCCAGCTCCAACCCAAGACCCTACTCCCGACTACGTTCCCGACCCGACCTTCGCCCCGATTGGGATGCGACTTTCAATCTCGACTGCAATCAATTCATAGCCTCGATCTAAAAAGAAAAAATGCTTGTAATCTAGGGTATTTGTTTCTTCACATAATAAGAAGCCATGGATAATATTTATATCCATAATATCCGGTTGTTTACCCATTTTATCCATTTTCACTTTCCTTAGTTTTGGCCCACCCATATCTGACTCGACCCACCCATTTGCCACCACTAGGTTGGAGTGTTGACAAGTACCTCTGTGGTCACAAAAGTTAGTACGTTATGAACCTGCAAAAGCTCCTTCAGCTTCAAACCTTTATTAATAAGAATCTACCTCCAACACCTCGTGAGCATAGAAGGGAAAAATTATGAGTTATGGGTGAGTCACACTTCTTTCTCTTCCCATTTGTTCATCTAGAGGGCTGCATTGAAGAATTGGTTTCATAGTGTTAATGTGTGGTTTGGGGGGGATATTCAGATTCAGGGACTTACGATTTTGAAAACTTGGGAGTATATCTCCTTGAATAGACTTAGATTAAAACTAACTCGTTTGTGTTTGTTTTCAGATGCATTTTGACAGTTGTTCAACAAGGGAAACAAATTATGCTTGCAGTATATTCAGTGATCGCCACCCATCTACTGTTTCAATGACGGTGCTTGTTGTTGTTGAGATGTTCAATGCATTGAATAATCTCAGTGAAAATCAATCTTTACTGTAAGCATGATACTGAAACTGTTGTTTATCTGATTTGTTACTTTTGCTTTGTTAAAAAGTTTAGGCCCACACTTTTTTATCCTTTTATTTGAGGAAATGGAAAACTGTTCTTTTAAGAATTTCTTCAAAGGCAATACCTCCACCTTCCACTTATTGTGAACTCTATTGCTTAGAAAAACTTATATGCAATTACTTTTTCAGATAGAATTGTAGTAAAAATGATTTGCAGCTACACAGATTTAACATATGCCTTTCTTCTTCTGAACCTTGAAATTCTTGATGCATCTCATGGGAAGTTCTATTGGCATTTGTCCTACTGCTTCTGAATATTTAGCCGTTCTTACCAACTTTCCAGTTCTGTTCTTTGTCAAAATTACTTTTTTTTTGACAAAGGTATCAGTAATTTGTCAAAATTACTTTGTCTACAGTAATTATTTGATTGACATTTTATCAGAAATTCCTAATGTTGAATGCTTACAGCTTGGGTCTGAAAGTTCTTGCAAAGCCACTCAAAGTCCTGGCTACCTCACCGGCTTAGTAGTCCTTTTAACCATTCTAGAAAATACAGTAATTTTTAAGAGATTTCTTCACTGATCCATAACCCCTTCCCACATTCCAAAATCCCTCTAAAAATCTGTTTATTACAAAATATTATGTTAGGATTTTATTTAAGGTGGGTCTAGGTTTTTCTGCCAATTTTTTCTTAGTGATGAATATAATTTTTGTTCTTTAGATAAACAAATACCTTGTAATCTACACGTTTTGGGCCTCAATAAGTAATGTATGTACAAGGTCCAGATATTCTCCTTCTCAAGATGTGGAATGCATTCTGCATCTTGTCATAACTCATATGCTATCCAAAATTGACTGAACTTTTATAATCTTCTAGAGACATTGTTGCTGAAGCTCTATAGTGTTTCCAAACTCTGTTGTCTTGCAATATCTGTATAGAATGCCTTCTACCGAGACAGTATATTGAAATTACATCAAAGTAACTGTAAGTCCTTCAGGACTGACTATATTTCAATTTGTTCTTTAGTGTCATCCCTCCATGGAGTAATCTATGGCTTGTTGCTTCGATTATCTTCACCATGATCCTTCACATTCTCATTCTTTATGTGCAACCATTATCCGCTCTATTCTCTGTAAGTAGTCTCTTTTTCTTCTGACTTGAAGCATAATTTTTTTCAGTTGTGTGATGGCCTCCTTATGCTGGACATGTTAGTTAATGATCCTGATGTGTGAGAATTGCAGGTGACACCGTTAAGCTGGGCAGAGTGGACAGTTGTGCTATACCTTTCATTTCCTGTAAGAGATTTGACCATCAAAGTCCTTAACTATGGACTCCCTTTCATATTTATGTTTGTGAACTGCAAAAATCATTTTTTCTGTATCCTACTGGAGAATTCGTTTATCATAATTTTTGGAAGAAAGCGTGATTTGTATAACTGGAGATATGCTATAGTTCAAATGAGGATAAGTATTGTTAAGATTGGTGCCACATGTAGCAAATGTGTCATTCTTGGATACAAAAAGGTGTGACCTTTCGCTGATCTCTATAGCTCGCGTCCATCATAAATGCAGCTAGAGTATGTGCCCACTTGCTGCCTTGATAGAGTGTCTCTGTTTAGTTCCAGGTATTATAGTCATAGATACAGTATAAGGAAGGGGGGCAAAAGGAATTGCTCATTATCAATTATATCCTTAAAAACTGTGCATTATGGCCAAGTTCCTCAAGCTTAAAAAATGGAAGGGGGGCAAAAGGAATTGCTCATTATCAATTTATATGCCTGTGTTCATGTTGACATTTTGTTTGACCTTTCTCCTTCATGTTTGCCAGCAGCTTTTGTTCTTGTGTGCTACTTCATAAATATTCTTGCCATTTATCATGAAGTGGATTTCCCCCTTCCATGACTACTGCTACTTTTTCTTGTTAGGTGATATTAATTGATGAAATACTGAAGTTCTTCTCTCGAAATTCAGGTAATAATATTCAACATGTTGTTCCCCTAAGAGGATTGAGCTTTGAATTCTAGTATTACTGATGTATGCTTTTTGTTGGTGCCTTGTTTATAGGAATAAGATTCAGTTTCAGATTCAGACGTGCTGATTTACTTCCAAAAAGAGAGATACGTGACAAGTAAGCTCTCAGACTTGTACACTGAGGATGACTGTTGGAAGCTCAAGCACTAAATGTTGCAGCTGAAAGATTAGATAAAGTACACAACAAATTTTGTTCCAACTGAAAAGACATGTGTTGTACATTTTTTCTGATTCAACTCTCATTTCATTAGATGAGAAATTTACAAGCAAGAATTTGAGAATTAAGGGCCCGTTCGGTCACTGGATAAGACTTGAGTTATTCATGTATAAAATGTTGCATAAGCTTTACGTGTTTGGTAGCATTTTTATGTCCGGTATAAAATTCAACACACATAATGTTATGTTTGGTTAGAAAATTAGAAAACCACATAACTAATGCATGCATAAGTTATGAGTTGATCTATGTATTATTTGGAATAAATTATATTTGAATAAAAAACACCTAAATACAATAAGAAAATGGAATTGATTGGGTGGAGACTGTCACGCCCCAAGACTACCCCCTAGATGTAACACGGGACCTAGGATCACGAGTGATCCGAAGCTAACCCTGAGTCTGGCATATATCAAGCATACTGAAAAAAACTGAGTAAAACAGTGGATATCTGAAATGGGGAAAAACCCAACTAGTCTGAATATATATAACATAGTAAGAGTTTAGTGATAACTGAAACAACCACTTAATTCAAGCTGAATCTACTACTATGTCTCAAAAGCCCCTAACTAAGTTGAGTTGTTGAGACATGCCCCCAACTAACTCAACTGAAAACTAAAAATAAAGATTGAAATAGGAAGATGTCTATTGTCCTCAAAGTATGAGGACTCACCACTGAAGTTGTTAAATGTGGATTGATCTAAGCGTGATCTTCGGATGCTGTGTGCCTGAACCTACATCATGAAACGATGTAGCGCAAAGTATGCGTCAGTACTTGAAATGTACTGAGCATGTAGGATATAAATTTGCTAAGGTGAACAAAATGTATAAGTTGCGCAATGATATAATCTGGACAAGGATATTTACTGAAGTATAAATGAAAGATAAACTGAATGCAATGACCAAGTACTAATCATGAAGATAACATGCGGAACTGTATACTGAAGTAACTGTTGAAAATCAGGTCAATGCACTAAGAGTCTAATTGCGGGAGCTACTATTAATTAACATAAACTACATTAGTTAAACGTGGAGTTTGATGTATAAACCCCATCGAGAGGACCCAATATACCTTGTCGGGGGTATAAAGGCATGACTGTGGCGTGATCACTAAATCTAATGCCTAATAGAGGGAACTTATAAACCTACACAGGCGCGTAGTTCTGGGACTATGATGGTACGCTGAACTCTAGTCCAATTCGGTGCTAAATCTACTCCTAACTGGATGAATAGCTAAAATGCCCTAAATACTGAATAGCGCAAAATACTGACATGCTTACTGAGAATGCAACATTTATATACTGGGAATGTGACATTCTAAATTTGGAGCATGATTTTCTGTCTAACTAACCTAGCAAGTATAATTCATGATCAAACAGAATTTACACAAACTAGTGTTCTAAGTTTGATAATAGGAATTAAGCAACGTTTCCAAGAAAACATGTTATTTAGACTATGGATACTATAACAACTGAGATCACCACAATTCCTAATATTTTACAAACCCTAGGTCTAAACAAGTTACGTGGAATCAAGGAACTGACTCAATTCTAGGGACCTAGTGGATGAAAGGAACCCACTAGTGAAATCCCACATACCTGATGGTGAAATCTACAGAGAAATCCTTTGGATTTTGGGGCTGAAGTTGAAGAAGACCTCTGCTCGTTCTTGGGAAAACTATCGTCTCTTTTCTCTTCTTTTCGTTCTAAGTTAGATTATTTTAGGAGAATAACGGTTTCAGGTAGTTTCTAGCTAGTTTTCTAAGCTTATACTGAGTAAAACGACGTAGTTTAAGTATCAAATGCATAGGGGAATAGACTAATGCGACCCTGACTTAAATGTTGTCGAACTGAATTTAAAAGGGGATTCAGAGGCCGTCATTATAATGATGTCCCATCTAGCAGCTCATGAAGATGCCCTGCCAGACATAGCTTCACTAAAATAGGCATAATTTTTTTCTTGTAGCTTAGAATTAGGCAAAATCAGTTGTGTTGGAAAAAGGATTCAAAGATCTTTAATTTGATAGGTCATGTGAAACCTAATTCATTTTGTGCGGAAAGATATGATCGTTTGAAGTTGACCCTAAACTCTAAGTCTGATAAGTCTATTTCATGGAAGACTTTACGGTCCATGTGGATCTTTACGGACCATTTAGACGTCTGTGGTGCTTAACCAGTGACTTTGGGGTGAAACCTCACTTAAACACTATTGAATTGACTTCAATACAAGCTTCTTGGGCTGTCATGAGCACCACGACCCGTCAAGTGGGTCATGAAGATGCTCTGCCTGACAGGGCTTCAGTAAAAAGAGCATAACTTCTATAACTTTGGCTCGAAATTAGGCAAACTTGGTGGTGTTGGAAAGAGGACTAAAATACCTTTAACTTGATAGGTTGCGGGAAACCTAAATCATTTTGGGCCGAAAGATATGATCATTTGATGTTGACCAAAACCTCAAAGTCAATCAAGCCTCTTTCATGAGCCACTTCACTGCTCGTTTAAAGCTCCACGGACCGTCTAGTGGTCAGTGGTACTTCACAGTATCCATGGTGGTTCTGTGTACTCCTCACGGGCCAGTTCACGGTCCGTGTGGAGCTCTAGAGACCGTTTAGTGGTCTGTGGTCTTTCACCTTTTGTTGGTTGGACAACCACGAGAAGGTTGAGGGGTCCTGGTCCTCTTTATGGCCCATAGACCCCTCCGTGGTTTTTCCTTCTCTCGTGTTCAATCTTAGTTCTGATTTTTGAGGTGTTACAGAGATGGACGACGACCTAATCATGTCATATTTGCAATCTACCTGCCAGCCACCATCATTGGTGGGGTTCTCCTCCTCATCTCAATTTCCCCATCTCTCAAATTCTTCTTTGCCTACCACTATTAATGAACCAATAATCAAACCATTAGATTATGGCAAGGTTTTTAGTGCAAAAACATTGGAATCATTTTTTTTGTATCAAAGGACATAGAACCAATCCTAAATAAACCAATCAATTATGATAATGGTATGCCTACTGTAGAATGGACGGAAGCAGAAGTTACACGAATGAATAAGATAGACTGCCTACAATATTCTTTTGTGGGTAGATTTGTTCAAGGGTGGCCTAAACTAGACGATATTAGGAGGAATTTACCCTCTCAGTAGGGTATCGTGAGAGACTGCAAGATTGGCCTATTGAGGTATAGGCATATTTTGATAAGGTTTGCACTGATGGAGGACTTTATTAATATGCTTCCAAAAAATTTACACTACATGAAGAACAAACATGAAATAGCCTTTCCAATGAGACCACTAATATATGATTCAGGCTTTCGAGTTGATGCAAAGACCACACAAGTTATAACTTGGATCTCTTTCCCTACTTCTATATATTTCGTCAAAGAGGCATTATTTTTGTTGGCAGCTGCTGTAGGAAAGCCCCTACAACTGGATATGACTACAATACATAAAACAAGGCCAAATTGTGCAAGGTTAAGGTGAAAATTGAACTCACGGTAAAATTACCCAAATTTGTACGAATGGTTGTTGTAGATGAATCAACTAGAGTTAGACGTATAAATAATATTAAGATTCAGTATGATCCACTGCCAAAATAATATATGGAATATCGATTACAAGGGCACAATGAGGAGGGGTGCGGGAAATTAAATCCTCACTTAAGGAACTACTACAAAGATACAGAAGAAAAGGGCACCACATATCATATTGATAAGTCAAATAATCAAAGCTTTTCGACAAGTGCTTTCCCTCCGAGAACATTGACGAGTGGCAAAGGTATTGAATATCCAGATGCTTGGGCAATTGTGGATGGTAGAAGTCCTTCAAAGGAAAGAAAAAGAGTTAATAAAGGGATAATCAATCCATCGAATGAAGAGCATGGTATCAACAAAGAAAGTAATCTAATAGTGAAAGAAGGTTTGATCACTTACAATAAATTTGACTCATTACTAAGTCAAGAAAAGAAGATTGAAGAGGAACTAAAACAAGCTTACCAGTAGAAGGAAATTAATTTATGTAAGGGAAAACAACAAAGCAACAACACTAGAAGATGGGTCTAAAAAGTTTTTCACAGGAGAGGAAAGAGGGCGGGAGGGAGCAGAGTGGAGAAAAATGACGTAGACGCAGAGGAACAAGATTGGATGGAGCAACTTCAGAAAGAAATAATGAAAATTTGTCAAATCGGAGACAAACTTTTGATTGGGATGATCACCTCACCAAGGAGATGCTACAACAACGGACTAGTTCTTTGGGTGCAATACAAAGGGATATTGTGGTGTCATAGTGTACCAGCAACAAGAATCAACAACAACAACATGTTACAGGGGATTTCAGTACCACCAATAACTCACAACAACAACATGATGATCAAGAAGGGATAAGGTCATCTGTCCACATGGATATTGAAAGGATAGAAGAATCAGAGGTGTGGTTGAAACAAGTTGTAGGAATTAGGGTGCAGGCTATGGAGGAGGTAACTATTGATAATATGAATCTTACAAAAGCACATGTGTTACATGAATTAACAAAGGTAGAATTCCATCAACCATAACAAGTTTACTGGTCCAATACATGTGAGTTAAATGATCACCCAACAAAAACCCTTTTGTTAACTCAGTATAACGACTAGGGAGGCCAATTTAGTGGTTAAAATATGGATAAACAGATACGGATTAGAGGAAATTAGGCTTGTCCTTCTCAAGTCTTTCATGATTTAGTGTCACATCATGTAGAGGTGTTTGATCAAATAGTTTACAACATTAATGATGCACCTGAGAGGTTAGAGTTAATTGAAGACCAGGGACAAGAGGATAATAATAATTTTATGTTGCAAGTTTACAAAGATGTACGTTTGACACCTGGAACACATGCTAAAGGGAAGACAAGTAAACCTAGGACTGACGGTACTAAACCTTCTTGATTATTGCCTGTGAGGGCGGTGAAAGCAATATCCCAATGAGACAGAAGGCATTGTTTTGGAATATTAGATCTGTGAGAACTCATCATGCTTTTCACAGAGTTCAAATGTTACACAAACATCACAAGTTTTTTTCATAGCTTTGATAGAACCATTTCAAGAACAAGGTCAGATACAGAGGTACATGAGAAAGTTAAGAATGAAGTATAGAGAGATTAATAAGAATGGAAAGATT